AAATTCCAGTTAAAATAACTCCAATTAAAATAAATATTCTCAAGATGAACATGATTGTTTACAGTAAAAGTATAAGTATGTTTAGTTATGATATAAATGTATTGGTTATTACATGTTTACTTAAATCTATCGTCAAAGTGTTATCGATATCAATACTCTCCGTAAAGTTAATGCTCACTTTAGCTCGAAGTTGTTCAAGAGTATATTTACCTCGGGCAGACATTGAAGTTGGGCAGAGACAACTTTGAGCGTAAAATCGCTCGAAGAGTGCAGCTGGGCTGGGCAGCATTCAGAAATCTGCGCCATATCTTCTCGTCGCCCCACAATGCCTAAAAAGCAGGGTCTGCAATCAGTGCGTCCTGCCAGTCATGAATACGGGGCTGAGACGTGGAACATGACGTGAGGGTAGCTCACCGATTACATGTCGTTCAGCGAGCTATGGAAAGATCTATTCTTGAGAATGCAAAATACACTTTAAAGCACTGAACATTAGGTTGCCTCTTGAGTGCACTTCAAATTATTATTTTTTTGAAGTTATACTTCTTTTGGCGCATTAGAGAAAAATGATGAGAGTAAATTTTTACGATGCGCGAGCACACCGTCACGAAAAACGAACATCCTGAAATTAGCTAGACGCTAGACATCTACGTATCTTTGCGTGAGAACTGAACTTGACTTAACTAAACTTTATTTAACTAGATAATGCGTTATAATAAAACTTTCAATGAATTAAATACCTTTTATCTACGGTTAGTGTCGTTTTTTCTACAAACGTAAAATAAGGCGCAATATAAAATTTTTGAAAAGATTTTACGAGTATATAAATGGCGCAAATATGAGTCTTTATGTTTAGATTATGTATTTGTGTCATTCGTTACTGAAACTTTAAGTCCGTGGGCCCCGCGCATCAATTTTATTTTTAAGTTTATGTCTTAGACTTAACGCCGCGGCTGGTGAAAAAAAAGCTTGTTCTTTTCTCGCTCAAAGGTTAAGCATAACTATTCAGCGAAGAAATGCAGCTAGCGGTCTTGCATCAGATGAGAACTCAGATTGCCTTCAGTTAGTGACACTTTCGCTCAGTTGTGATCGTAGAGTTACGTCCACATGGCATTTCCACTTGTTTTCTCTATTCTTTGATATAAACGTAGCTCTAATAATATAAGGTATATATAAAGTTTATAATCAAGGTAATAATGTATTACCGTGTTATATATCACCGTAAGTATTACCATTATACATTACGTAATTAAAAATTTTTCGTCAGTCAGTCAACTTAATATGTTTTTAACGGCAGCCCTATTGCTGGTTGCCGAGAATTCCAGGAGAATCACCAATATCTAAAACTTTATCCCCACGCAATCTATTCTCGTCCTTATTTAAATATCGGAAGGAATGTTAGTGTAATGGATGAATGACTAATTAAAAAAAAACGAAGTAAAATAAATATTACTACATTGTCTTTTATTCTAGTTAAAAAATCATAGTAAACATTTAAATCTAAGAACTGTTTCAATTTCAAACTTTTATCTTAGTATTAAAAGTAATGGAGAGAGATTTTACGGTTTTAATTTACTTTAATGAGTGGGTAGAGTTAGTAACTTATTCAATGTTTCATATGTAATTTAAATGTCCGTATTTATGCAAAAAGGAACCATCCAGCAAACGCGCACTTTGAGATATTACAAGATTTACAAAAATATGTGCAGCTCTATTAGATGAAACAAAATTACTATTTATTTTATGTTAATTTATTGATAAATTATCTATTTAACTAAGTGTATATACATTTGCTCTGCATACTCTAAAACATTCTAAATAATTAAAAAAATATGCATTTGGTTCCTTTTAACATTTACTGATTTATAGATTTTCTCATATACAAAAAAGAACCACAACCTAGGAATTTACTGATATAAATGAAAATATGTATTTATATTATCGTAATAAAGCTTTAATTCACTAAACATGTAAAATATATAAATTTATTCGTCTAATTTATAATTAGAGACCGTTTATTCGACATTATCATCAAATTGAACCTGGAAATCTACCGTATCCAGTCCATCTATATCGACTTCTATTGTATTCACATCGTCATAACTGAGACCATAATAAAAACTCTGCATGTAGTGGAATGAGGGTTAATATGAACTGAACATCGGCTAGTTTCGCTGGTGATACTGGCTTCCTTGACGGCCACAGGGAAAGTAAATGTTGCGTCAAGATTACAGCCGGTTCCAGATCTCCCAAGGTAATCTTTAAAAATAAATTAAGTTTGGTGATTCTATTTTCAGGTATGTTTCTTGACTTTATATCCGATTAATACATTATTTATTAATACTACGTCTGTTACTAAAACTTTTTTCAACCTTATAAGTTTCCATGTGAATTTTTGGCATAACTGTAAGCATATACTGTAAGCGGGTGCTTTTTCTTGCAATCTTTCATTACCTATACATAATCATCGGGAGTGTATAGTCCCGGATATTTCTTTATTGCCGTTTCAGTGAGGGAAAAACATTGTCTGTCATTGGTAAGGTAGCATGTCGGCGTATAAAAATTCTGTGTTATTTATTTGAAGGTGAGATGAGGATGCAAAAATGCTTTTAACATGAAAACTATATTTATGTTACGATTCTGTCCTCTACATGAATCGCACCAAAAAATTAGTTCCTCGAATTCTACGGAAATATTCTGGCATATTTTAAGAGACAAGAACCGACTTTCTAAGCACCTTTGGCAACCATTCTTTCTATCCAAAAAAGCAAAGCAGCCAAAGCTGTCGTTTATAATAAGTAATGTTTTGGAGATCAAACTTGAGACTATTTTCTTACATTTAGTAGCAAAAATAACGCCAGGTTTCGATTTTAAGCCTCTTTTCACTATCGGCAATGTTCTTCGCGTTCTGTATCTATGGCTGTTTTCTCCTCAGAAGGTTTGCAAGGAGTTAATTTCCGATGGTAATGTGTCACACTTGTTACAAGAATCTTTCTTAAGAGGTAGTACTCGTCTCAGATTAAATAGGACAGTCTTCGCTGTGTTGCAAATACCAATGGGTGGTGGTTATCACTTATACTGCCTGCTCGCTTGCCATCTTCTTACATAAAAACAATACATTCCTTACTGACCTTCTCAGCTTCTATATGTTCAGGGTTTAAATCGAACATATTGTCCAAAGTTATATCTTGCATAAGATATTTGGTCATGAGCTAACTTCTTCTATAGCGTGATTTATACTTAGGAAGATCCTTTAATTGGCACCTCACGTATAAAACTATTTCGTCGCTGCATTTGTTCTTACCTCCAAATTCCCCTCCTCTTCTATATAATATATAATTCTCTCACATCACTTTAATTAAATCAGTATTAATGATGTTTGTCGAAACGCCAAGTATTTTGATAAATAAATTCCGGTGCACTTCGACTTTTTCCAATAGATATTTAAGAGCGAATTTATATATTTCGAAAGTAGCAAGTATACGAGTAGGTACGAATACCTATATTACGTTGTTTAAAGGCAAGAGGCAACTAACAAGTTATTTCATTTGGTACCTTTGGGCATAGATATGTTTCAAAACGTTATATTATTAATGGAATTACATACTAGTGGTTCTACTTCTTGACACAATGCATTTATACATGATAGAACCGAATGCTTGTGGTTCCATTTTGCAAAAAATATTAGGAATTAAATTATGAATTTATTTTACGCATAACGATACCACAGAATCATGGTTCCATTTGGTATATTAAAAATGATTGTTAATCATTGAAATCTGTGTAATTTATAATGGAACCGAGTAGGTGTGTGGATCTGTTTTGTATAAAATGACACGGTAGTTATATAGTTTATTTGTTTGAACAATCGAGTCCCGTTGTACTGTAGTTCGGTTTGGCTTTATATGTAATGTTCTTTATTTCAGTTGGTTCTTTTCTGCTTTTTGTATACCCTATTTCATTGGAAAAATCATGTGGTTCTTTTTTGAATAAGAATTTAGACCACTTTTAAATTTAGTATTCTTAAAAAAAAAAGAAAAACACCAAATTGTCGTGTGATTCCATTTTGCATAAGTAAGGAAAAATTTTCTTGGCTAATAATTAAAAAAGCAAATTCAATAAAGACTTTATTATGTAAATGGTGTTTTTTCCATTGAAAAATTACACGGTTATTTAAACGGTACACTTTTAGCAAATTAACCGTAATTTTGTCTAGAAACACCGTAATTTTACCCTTACTTTTTTGGTATTTCTTGATTTACTTATAGAGTTCCCTACTCTATAAGTAAATCAAGAAATACGACGACGAAACGGAAAAAATATATCATCATATTTTTTTCTCTTACGGCATATATGCCAAGTATCAAATATTTAAATGTACGGACTCTGTCCCGGATTCAAATTTGAAAAAAATATTGTTTTTGATACGATTTCGATATTGAATGTTTTATATCGATATATCGAATCAAAATGTATCGGCAAAAATTATCGATATATTATATAAAAAATATCGATATACGATATTTTTAGGAATCCCTATCATGGAGACGCTGGGTTATATTGTTATTGTACGAGTGTCTAATTCATATGTGGGGTCAAAAATATGACGACAAAAGGAATTGTTTAGACACACATCAATTACGACGAACGTATTATTGTTATTTTAATAAAATATGTCCAAATTTAATTAATGCGTAGAGCATTCCAACTTTTCTTTTTTTTATTTAAGTAATCAATTTATTTAATAAAATATGTCTTAGGGGAAGTGAAAAGATTTAATTAATTTTAAGGCAAATCACGACAATTGAATTACCAACATTTATATCTTACCGATTTGTTTTGACATCACTATTTATTTAATTTGAGTTGAGACAATCTGTGAAACGAACGGACATCACTACTCCTTTTTCATCACGAATTTGCTTGTGACGACAATCGTTTGTACCCATAGGTATAGATTTTCGATTAAAATAAAATAGGCTCAGTATAAACAAGTTTCTAACATGAAGAAAGTAGTATTGATATGCTTATTATCCCTTTCGTTGTGTCTTGGCAAGCCTGCTGATGAACAAGGTAAGATTACGTAGATCAATGGAGCGACAATAAATTGCGTTCTATTGGAATTTCTTCATGATGGCAGTCACTAAACTAGTTTTAGAAAGATACTGTTGCAACATTTACAAATGGTTTCTTTTATTGAAAAGAGAAAAGTAGATTGAGTAATAATAATAAGTGCGGGTCATAGCGTGTAATCATGAATCCCTTTTCTCTATGTACTTATTGAAATTAAATTGGGATAAGTACCTACGTATTGTTATTTTCTTAAGACACACTTCTGACGCACTTGTGCTTCGTTACCAGTGTACATTTATTCGACTTGTTGCGGAAAAGATACAATAAGTTCCATGAATTTATTAACCGATTTAAGAGAACCACAATTTATCAATACGCGCGTACATTATTTCAGGGGCTGATAATTTTAAAGAATTTTATTGCCAAAATAAAACGAAGAAAATCACCACATTTACATATTCAATACTTGTTGCTTTTTTTTATCGTCGTTAATGTATGCCCGTTAACGGTAATTTTGTTGTGTCTGTTTGAAATAATAGACAGGAAATCAAACTTCTCTTATATAAATAACTAACGTGGGCGTTATTCAATTAACATAATTTTTAACGATAGAGAAAAATAACTAATATATTAATCAACAAGCAGAATTCGGCGGTCGCTTATAGTTTTCGAAAAAATAAATTATGAAAGTGTTCACTAGAAATCCGCCATTTTTTTGTTGTCAATAAGTCAATTATTCTGCTCATAATTCTGGGTGGTCATAAAAAATATATAAATAAAGAAAAATCACTAATGAATTAATCAACGAACAGAATTCTCCGGTCGCTTATAGTTTTCGAGAAAAAAAAGTGTAACTTGTTACTTTCACGAAGAAAGTCCGCCATTTTATTAATTTGACTTCAAAAACTGAATAACAGTCTTGCCAATATGATATATCTAGGAAGCGGGCGACGTCATACCTTCTCGTATGGATAATTCGATTTATTTATTTTTTTTTTTTTTAATTTAATGTGTCACTGATCTGACACAGAGCAATCCGCTTCAAACAGGTTAAGTAGGAATGAGACATATTTATCGTAACAGGTAAATATAACAGGTATCTCGAGATAACAGACTGTACCTGTTACTGACAAACTTAAATAACAGTTCCTGTTGCACACAAACTGCTTCTTCACACGCTGTCACAAGCTTTTCATTATTCATGCTTACAATTGTTACCTTAGTTAGAAAGAGATAAACACTATTACACCTTCTAAGGCAGTTGGCGGTCCATTTGATATTGCCAATGACACAATAATGATAAAAAAACAAATGCTGTTACACCTTGTCACAGTTGTTAATTGAACACTGTCACTGTTACAAGCTCTTTCTTTTTCTTGCATCGGTCTTATAGCTTTGTTAGAAAGAGAAGTATGGACATTACCATAGAGTGAAATACTGTAAAAATTGCAATATCAGCTTGGACATTTCCTGAAAATGTACCAGATTTTTTCTCAATCTTATCAAAATTTATTTTTTAAATACATAAACCTCCTTAGTTATCAAATATTGTGTTAACTTCAAAACATTTGCAATGAAAAGTACCTTGTAGATTTTGTTCCCAAAAAATATACATTAGGCATTTAACTTTGAAATTACATTGCAGTTTACTCAATAATTGATAATTCAATATAACAGCTCCGAGAGGCTACTTCAATACAGCTTTTTTCCAGCACAATTTGTATAAAAATATCTATTTGGTCTGTTCCACATGTATCAGATTATAAATATAAGGTCAACTTATATCATGCACTATATCACAATAAAAATTATTAACAGTTATGCTAATAATTTTTTATTGTGATATACTATACATAAAAACTACTAACATATAAACTACTATCTAGCAATTAACTTAATTAGTAAACTTAAAACCACTGAATTCTGACCAGGGCTTTCTTCTCATAAGTTTGCATATGAATGGTAAATCCCTCTAAATTTTCAATGTAATGTAAGTACTATGATGTGTTATCAAATATAAAGATGATAATATGGGTTCAATCAAGCTATAGAATATTATCTACATAAAATATGCAAGGTTATGCGGGAGCATAACCTTGCATAAGGCACTTAACCTTGCAAGAGGGACTCTTATCTTGTTTATTTGTGCAGCTGTATACACTGTTTAGGATCATTATAGTTTTGTTTTTTAAAAATTAAGACCATTAACATTGCATAGAAGGCACTGCACTGCCCTTCATTTCTATTTTCAACCTTTTTCTGAATTCACCAGCTTGCACTAGTTAATTATAGATCTTTCACCTTAGTTAACAGAAACATAATTATAGCATGCATATATTAACTTCTTTTTTTGAAAGCAGCCAGATGGAAACATTTATACTCAAGAAATGTGTTTTCAATTGTTAATCCAGAAGATCTTTCCTTGTTTATAAATATCTAATTCAGGTTCTCTTGTCCGCTTAAGTTTTTTTAATATTTGATGTGAGAAGTACTTTCGTGGCTGCCATACATCTCTAAAACTGACAAGAAGTTTCCTTTTGACTGAATGGTTTATCCTGGCTCAAATAGAATTGCTCTACTATTTATAAATTTTTTAAATGTCTATCATATTATAATCATTATGGTTGAATCTTCACTGTGGAGGACTTTTTAAAAAATCTCTTTTTATTGAATTTTCTAACAATGGCATGTTAGACTCGCGCACCAAGGGGGTTCCATACCATCCTTACTCATATTATAAAGGTGAAAGTTTGTTTGTATGGATGGATGTTTGTTACTCTTTCACGCAAATACTACTGAATGGTGTTTAATGAAACTTTACAATAATATAACTTATACATCATAATAAGTATAATTTATATACATAATTTATGTATTTCTGTCTGAATATTACACCTTCAGCATATTCTTCGCAGACATAGTGGCAGGGAGCAGCTAGTTATCTACATAAATGCCCAAAAAATTGTCTGTTGTATGGGGGTAGTATTTTTTATGCTGTTTTTTAGTATTCCTTGTTATGGTGGCAACAGAAATTCATCATCTGTGAAAAGTTCAACTGACTATCACAGTTCATGAGATAAATCCTGGTGACAGACAGACAGAGGAGTTTTAGGAATACCGTTCTACCCTTTGGGTACAGAACCCTGTGACTCTTGAAACTAAACAAATTCAAATGATAACACTATATTTATTTTATGTCCAATAGCCTATGCAAATAATAATAATCACCATACATTTGAGATACAAACAATTATACCTAATAGAATAATATTAATAAACATTTTGAACATTGTATGGTTTTGTACTTTTTTGTAATGCAGTTGACCTTGAAGCAATGGCAACTGTCAATCTCCAAAATTACATGCAAATATACTGTAGCCTAGGAAATATCTAAAAACTATTATGCAATATTCATCCTAAATTTTTGGTTACCAATGTGCACATTTGGCTAAACAAAAAATTTAAGCTTGAAATTGCAACTAACTGGTAATGCCACTGTGATTAATTGATGTATATACATATATATATAAAAGTCTTAAGAAAGAACTACTTTAACTAAAATACTGTGAGGCTAGTATACCTACTACAGAAGATATAGATATTTAAATATGGAATATTACAGTTCCACAGAATGTTATTTTTATTAATGTAAATTATTCTAATTTTGTTGTACATGATAAGGCCACCTAACATTTTCTTGCTATACATAATGTGGGAACTGAGAAACTTAACTTATAATATATGTATACTTGGCATTGCCCAACAACATTCTCAGTATCGTATACATCTTATTTGCATAACCAGAATTATAAAAATCATCATAGGCCTGTACACATGATTAGTTAATAAGTTTGCATAAAAGTTTGAACATTAAATTTCAAGTTGTGAGTTTGATCAACTTACATTAATGCGAACTATGGTTATAACATATTTTTAATCTTTATTTCATTTTTAAAAATTGTAAATGAATCTATAACTGAAGACTTGTTTTTCTATTCTTTGCCCTATGCTAAATTTTGTAGAAATTATTTAACTTGCCTTAGTTTTAAAAATATCTACATGTAACTTTACCTTTTTCAGTTCCAGCAAAATCTCAACAGCAAAATGACACCGCTATTGACCCAAAGATAACAATTTCAACAGAAACCTCTCAAGTTTCATCAATAGCTACCACAACCGAACAGAAAGCAGTACCCAAAACTATCAGTAATGATACTCCCTCAACTGAGACTACCCCAAGCCCTAATGAAACTAAAATAAACGGAACACAACCTACATCTGATGAAAATAAGACAAAGAAGGATATGGAACCACAAAAAAAAGAAGAAAAGAAAGTAGAGCCTCCAAAGGAAACAAACAGTACCACTGAAGTCAAACCCATTACTGATAACAAGGAAATAAGTAACAATACATCTAAACCAGAAGAAACAACTAAACCAGAAAAAAAAGAGGAGAAAGGCATTGTGATCACAACTGAAAAGAGTGGCACAACTGTAAAACCTACTGAATCTCCGAAAAAAGAAGATGACAAGCCTGTTCTGCAAGCTAGAGGGTAAGTAACATACTAACTTTTATTACTTCATAAACTTTGCAAGGGCTTTATCAGTGAAAAATGTTTTTTTTTTAATTATTCACTGATAAATATGATATGATGATGAAATATTTTTAAACAATAAACTTATCCAAAATAGGAATGACATAATCAAGTGTAATGCAACTTTTCACACAAAATAAAGGCCCATTTACATGGTGCCAGTTTCTTGCCTGTTGTATACAATTAAATTGAAGCAATAAATGAGTTGCATGGTCTAAACAACAAATGGTCTAAACAATTATTGCGCGCAATTTATTGCATTCAATTATTGCTCTTGTATGTTCAAGAAAATGGCATAGTGTAAATGGGCCTTAACTATTTCTATCAAACTGACAGGTTTACCTGCATAGCAAACCGATGACGACATTTATCTATCAAATAAAATATTTGTATATGAAATTGGAACATTCTGCTAACCGTGGCATTCTGCTGCTAAGTGGGTCGACCAGCAGCTAATTTTCCAAGTGCAACTAACAAGTTTTAATAATTTTTTTACATTTAGACGATTTTGTTTGTTGGATATCATGGTATTTAATTATTGAACTAAATGTTCAATTTTGTATTGCCATAGAGACCTATGCATGCAATGTTATCTGTGTTGCTAATTTAAAAGTTTTAATTTTCCCTACTTTTGATTACTCCTTAGTTAAGGGTGTGAGTGGAATGCTCCGATTTTGGACACAATAGCATGCAGTTACAACTGCTTGTCCTGTCTGTATTTCTGATTCTTTGTTAGACATTTTATTTGAGCATAAACTGCTTTGAAAATAAGCTTACTTACATACTTATTTTATAATAACTGTACTTGAACAGATTATTTATATTCCATGTCAATTTTAAATTCATGTCTTAATTTAATAAACTGAGGAAGTTTGTAGTTCTCTATCTGCAATTTTCTGTGGATGTTTTATATAGAATGGATGGATCATAATTCTACAGCATGTCGTTACAATCGCGACAATAAATTAACATATATAGAGGATAACTTTTTAAATTGTTGTGAGTTATTAAATTTTACAAAACAAAAATTTTTAGAACAGCCTTACTTATAAAATTGTAACGTAAAGTTCATTTGTAAAGGTCACAAAGCATATGAATGAATGGTTGAATGAATTTAAAAGAGATAAAACATACTGTTAGGCTCCTCCTACAGACTTGTAATGCGACATTGTGGCAATGAATGAAAACATCTCTGAATGTATGAATCAGTCAATTGTAGTTCTATAGGATGTTACAATTATTGTTTCTTTTTTACAATTATGATTTTTTTAACGTTTTATATTTTTTTATGATTATTGGCAAGTAGTGTTAGACGTGGGTTCATTATTTTTTTTTTTTTTTTTTAAATACATTGCTCTTACTTTAGGATAACATTATCCTGTGTTGTAGGGACGTTTTACAAACATAAATTTCACGCGGACAAACGCCCAGATGCGAAAAAACTACCTGTGGGTCAAACAAATAGTTGTCCTGTGTGGGAATCGAACCCACGACCCCCGACGCCGAAGCCAATACCTTGGCAACTGTGCCACGGAGTCATCGAATTCGCGTAAAAGTCATTTATTGTCGCGATTGTAACGACACACTGCATATTTATGTGGAAATGTAACAGTATAATATAATAATAATGATTAATTCGTTGCAGCTTTGATGGACCCAGCTTCATTGGCGGTATAATACTGACACTTGGCCTTCTCGCAATTAGTTTTATGGGTTTCAAATATTACAAAAATCAAACTGAAAGGAACTACCATACTCTCTAAGCAAAATGTAATATAAGCTTAACTGCTGTAGTAGTTAGTGCACTATGCTATGCCTTAGTTTTTTGCGCAAGACACATTTTAAATATCATTTTATAATGTGCCTTATTAGTTTTTGTTGTACATGAGGAAGTATATTTTGTTCTTTTTTTCCATGCACTCAATGATGCCCATCTAAAATTTGTGATGTAACAGGGTTTCCCTAGTTTCTTTTTTATTTTTAGATTGAGATTCAATTTACCGAATTAGCATGGTATGGTGGTTGGGACATTTGTTATTTGAATTTAAAGTGAATAATTTTACCCCTGATATTATAAATTAATGATATTGCATGCAAATTTTTGCATTTATTTTAATGGCTGTCTTGCTATCTTTTTTGTGTATCTCAAAACAACATGTTTTGCTTACAGACCTAGCCAACATAGTTTATATATTCAATATATGTCAGTTTCAGAGGTTATTGTGTAAATTTTGAAGTTGTAAAACTTTTTTTGTGAATTTATTAGATATTAAAGTTAAGATTATATTCCAAATTATAAACTGTTTCAAAATAAGAATATAAAAAATATTATTGGATGTTATTATAACACACAGTGCAACTGTCTGAGGAAGGAATTTCTTTTTCCAAATGTGCCATGTTTAGGGTTCAGAATTTACCATGTTTTACTAAAAGAAACATTAGTGGAAAGTCATTCCTTTGACTGCACTGTAGGATTCTTATTTTATTAATAGATTTAAGCATATTAATAAGTGTTGTTATAAGGAAACTCAATGTGATGATGAAAATAAGGGTCTAAAATGGTAAATGTATTGGTTTAGCACAATCTGCTCTTCTTGAATCTCTTTAAATAATAATAATAGCAAATGATTATCCCTTGTAGAGGATTGCTTTATGTGCTGAACCAATTTTTTCATTTTGCTTTTATTGGAGATTTTGTAAACTGGAAAGTTCATTCCATCCTAAAGTGCTCTTATATCTTGAATGAGATCTATTTATGATTAGTTGTGAAGGATTTTCAGACAACATAGTTTCCTATCATAAAAATAATACTGCTCTTTGTCACTGTCAATACTTATTTGTGTTAATAAAGATATATACAATTAAAATGTTGTTTTAATAGTTTCTTTTTTATTTTTACTGTTTTTTTTTTAGCTGTCAAACCGCAGATTTAAAGCTTCATGGAATTGTCCCGAACTTGATACAGCTCTGGTGCGATATACGTGTTTATCAGGAAATATGACACCTACGGTCCATCATTGCGATACAGTACGGATCGTGACCCCTAACGCCATTGACTGTATTAAATGGTGGCTTGAGGTGGTTAGAACCACCCTGGAATGAAAGTGTAACAATAATATCTTTTCACTTGTGACTTTTCATCTCTCATGTAAACACATCGGCAATAGCAGTAGTATATCAGTTCCCATTCATAAAAGAAACAAAAAACTAGTCTTCAATGGTAATTGTAAACACATGTATAATACCAGTTTAGGATGACAAAAGAACAAGTTAAACTAAGTAACTGTCTCTCTGGAAGGTAAGGCAAGGCAAGATTGTACTAATGTATTATTTTTATTACATTGTAAATACAAAATATATTTGATAATTTTAATTACACAAGAAATGTACACAACTCGTATAAGATGCTGTAGAAAAAATAATGTGTTTATTTCTAGGAAATGGGGTACAAACACTTCTCATTTACTATAAAAATAAAAACGATATTTAGTTACTTATTTTCTCGTCTTGTTGGTTTTATAAATAAAAATAAACATCTAGATATAAATTTTGTATGTAATACATAATTAGGACCCAACCAGACTGAAGCCATTGGCAGGGGAGACCAAACGCTTCGACTTTCAGCTTGGTTGGAGCGTTCCGACCCGGAGTCCCAGTCGCCTCAGATGTTCGGAGAGGCTGACTGGGATCAACACATTCGTAGACACGACTATCGGGATAATTTCAGTCAACACACCACCCCACATGTCGGTCAACTCGTGAGCCAGGTTCAATGTTTTGGCTTTCACGAGGTTCTCGTCGTATGGAATGGTAATGTCACCCAAAAATATTCGCGACTGTGCTCGGTTCATCACCACGATGTCAAGTTTTTTCGCGAGAATCGTCCTGTCCGTGATAATAAGTCTAAATAGAGCCTGGCGTGGTCATTTCGAGCACGGCCTCTGCATAGTACTTGTAGTACGGCAGATCCAAGAGACCGTATTTCAGAGTGAGCTCCTGGTGTAGGATTCTGGTTACTAGGTTGTGTCTATGCAAATACTCAGCGTTAGAAAGCATGGAACAACCGAAGGTAACATGCCGAAGCGGCTCCCCGGGACGGCGACAAGCTCGGCAGATGTCGACAGTGCCATCCCTTATTTTATTGTTTATCAGTATGTTATAATATTATTCTAATGGGTTTTACAAATACACATGAGTCAATTCATGTTACTTGAGTCAATTCATGTTACTTGAGTCAATTCATGTTACTTGAGTCAATTCATGTTACTTGAGTCAATTCATGTTACTTGAGTCAATTCATGTTACTTGAGTCAATTCATGTTACTTGAGTCAATTCATGTTACTTGAGTCAATTCATGTTACTTGAGTCAATTCATGTTACTTGAGTCAATTCATGTTACTTGAGTCAATTCATGTTACTTGAGTCAATTCATGTTACTTGAGTCAATTCATGTTACTTGAGTCAATTCATGTTACTTGAGTCAATTCATGTTACTTGAGTCAATTCATGTTACTTGAGTCAATTCATGTTACTTGAGTCAATTCATGTTACTTGAGTCAATTCATGTTACTTGATCCTTATAATAATAAACTTTCATGTTACTTGAGTCAATTCATGTTACTTGAGTCAATTCATGTTACTTGAGTCAATTCATGTTACTTGATCCTTATAATAATAAAACAGTAATATCAAATTTTAAAAACATAAAATGCAATATATTTTTTTTAATAAATTTTACAACCATGATTTATAAAAATATGTACAAAGTTGTTATCTTAAGGATTGATTTACTTTGGATATTATATTCATAAATAATTCTGTCATATCACCAACTCTACCGCTATATGGTACAGTTGGGGATCTATACATTGTCAGAATCTATGTTGGTGGCTTAGAAAATAATTGATATATTGTCCTACTAACAGTTGGTCCTACATTACGAGCAAAATTTCCATATTTCAGATTTGCTAGCAACATTTCACCTTCCTTCTGATCACAAAGCCTATAGGCATTAATAAGTGAACGAGGAGTTTTATACTGATTGGTTATTGCAACAGCTTTCTCCACAGAAACTCCTTTCAGCTGAAGCAACATTTTTATAAATGTTTCCTTCACAGTTAATGATTTGTTCTTGACAGAACACTTATTAAAATACTTAAATGTCATCAGTGTATCTCCTTCTGGTGGTGCACTCCAGCCTTTCAAAATTTTATCCTGAAAATTATAAAATAAATATACATAACTGCCGATGCATGTTTTATTGTCTTTGCTCAGCAGTGAGATATATACTATAGACTACTCACAAGTTACTTTTTACTCGACCACTGAATTTCTTTGTTAAGAAAAAGACAATATTTAAAAAATACTACACAATAACAACTCTTAATAGGGCCCATACAGTTTTAATGTTGGTTTACCTTATATCTACAAGCCAATCTTTTAGTCATCATTGTCAAAAATCTTATGGTATAAGCCAAAGACTTGGTTATGTGGACGGTGAAATTGTCAATCATTCGAGTGTTTGCTAATGCTTGCATAAGTGACTGCATTGGCAATCCCACATTTTTATTGCCTCCATAATTTTCAACTAAATAGATAATGTTCTCTATACCACTCCTTCTTAGTCTAAACTTTTGTTCATGAAACCTTCCATCTTTAATACTGGCTGCAAAGTCATCCATTCGTTTTCGTTCAACAATATATGGTAACACTAGCTCCTTGTTTTTATCACTTATGTCTTTAGCCACCCATGTATAATCTCCAACTTTGAGACTTCTATATTCATGATGAATAGATGATGGAATAGTTGGATCATACTTCTTTTTTACACTGTAATATAAATAAACTTTATACAAAATAATAAAATAAATCTATTGTATAAAATTAAAATGATCTACTATCTCTCAAAGACTCTGAATATGAAGTTTAGATAATATTGTTTTGTCATACATTATACTTATTTATATATTACAGAGCTATATTATACTTTATTTATTTAAGTATTCTTATTATATACAGTTGATTCAAATGTAAATATATATTTCAAGACATCATGTGTTCAATTACTTACAGATGCACATTTTATTATTATATGAATAATTTTATATATTTAACATTAGCCTATCTGTAATAAGTCAAGGTAGGTCACTGCTGGGCAAAGGCCTACTTTGGACAGGGGTTATTAGGGTATAGTCCATTACAAGAACCCACTGCACATTAAATGATTCTTAGAGGGTTTGTCAAATTACCTTATACATAGGAAATAAAATACATACCCATTAGATTCGCATTTGTCTATTAGTAATACAATATCAAAATTATTAGGTTCCAGTTCTATACCTTCAAAGGTAGAAGTACTACAACTGAGTAGTGAAGTATTTGAATTTATAGAACAGTTATCATTTTCAAAAGAGTGTATCTTTTCTGGTAATATCTCATTGGAACCTAAGGAAGTGCAGTTTGTTATAGGAGTATATGCAACAGGTAATTCCTGTAAATTGTTAAACAAATCATTTGCCACAGAAATACCTTCGTCAGTTAAGGAGTACATCATTGTTTTACACTTTTTGCTATTTACTAGTCCTTTTGTAATCAATATATCTATTTCGGACCAAGCAGTACTCGTAGTTTGAGGGTTTGAATTGTTAAATGAATCATCACAATATTTCTGTGCGAATTCTATCAACATGTTTTTATTTAACAGTCTTTCATTATTATTTGAATGTTTCAGTAGAGCAATTAAGAGTGCATAGGCTCCAGATCGATATGCTGGCTTATAAGGATTTTCAGATGGTCCTTTTGCCTTGATCAAATTTACAGTTTTAATAGGGCTAGTATGTGTTACTTCTAAGAGATTTGAACACGTAATAGTAGAAGGAGAAATGGTATTGTTTTTTGTGTTTATTTCAATTTGAATGCTTGATGACGAAGATTTTGCTAGATGAATATTTTTGTATTCTTCAAGCTTTTTATCTATAAGAACGCACAGTTTTCTGTCGAAACCATTAAGAATAGCACACTCAGCACCTGTCTGCAGTGATAAAGGATATTTAGAAAGTGATATCAAAGCTTCATTAAGTATATTTTGGACTTTACTCTTTTTTTGTTTGGCTTCTTCATGTAATTCCTCTAACCATGATTGGAAGAGTGGATTTGGTCGCGTACGCTTCAAAGTTATTCGCTTGCCTGATTCAATGATATCCATAATAAAAGCATACGATTTTATTAGAAAATTGACTACCTCCTCATGATATTCTGGAAATTATAAAATAAAATAACTACTACATAAATAATGTGTCTTAATTATAACAAAAATCTCATCATAATTCATAACACATAACATATACATAATTAACATACTATTGAACGTTATCGCAATGCCGGACCCGATGACGGGCACGGGATGACATGACAGTGACATCAGTGCGTACAGTGTTGCCGATAGAAGTGGGCGATACAAATCGTATACAGATACGAAAACTATATATTGGTATAATATCCGAAAATCGCTTACTGGCTCGGTCAAAACATATGTATTTTACAATATCTGACATTTCCGAAATCCGATGTACCAAATACTCGCTTACTCCATATACACGAATCCCGATATCATACGCGTTTGCCACAATATCAGATTTTTAAACAGATTTCGAGCGACAAAACCCGTGAGATACAAATATTCACTAGTTAGAGCGATACCGCAAGGAATGCACAATATCAGATTTTTAAGCAGATTTCGAGCGACAAAGCGCGTGAGATACAAATATGTGTGACATGTGGTTCCGTCCTGTTGAAACCACATGTTTGTGATATCGATATCATCAATAATAGGCCAAAATTGAGAAGTTAACATCTCGCGATAGCGTGATCCATTGACCGTTACCGCATTTCCAGCCTCATCTTCGAAAAAAAAAAAACGGTCCAATGACGCCTCCAGACCACATAGCGCACCATACAGTGACACGTTGACCATGCAAAGGCTTCTCAATAATCGCTTTAGGATTTTCAGAAGCCCAAATGCGGCAATTTTGCTTGTTGAGGTACCCTGACAAGTGAAAATGGGCTTCGTCTGAAAAAATGATTTTTTCAGAAAAACCAGCGAACTGTTCCTGAATGAATTGAGCGAATCTACGGCGATGTGAATGGTCGGTCAGCTTCAATTCCTGCACCAGTTGAACCTTGTAAAGGTTCAAAGCCAAATCCTTACGCAAAATTCGCCATGTGGTGGTTTTGGATAACCCCAATTGTTGAGAACGTCGAGGAATTGACAAATTTGGATCTTCTTCAACACTGTGGCTCACGGCTGCGATGTTTTCGGTTGAACGACCCGGTCGAACACGCGTTGGTGTTGGCACATTTTGTACATTTTATTTTTGCAAATTTAGCGACCAAATTCTTAATAGCGGTCTCAGAAGGACGATTATGTTGTCCGAAAATATCACGAATTTTACGAAACGTAACTTTAACAGAACCACCATTTTCATAGTGGATTTAATTATTTTAATGCGATTTTCGAGCGAAATTGAATTCATTGTAGCAATTGCCAAAGCCTTTACTACGAATAGGTCAAAAAACTAAATGTAAAAACTGTCATGTTGTTGGTGTGGCCCCAATTGAAAAACAAAGTTCTTGTTGAAAAACCCTTTATAAATTAAGTTTAGTTACTTTTCATTACAAGTAGTTGAAATAGCTAACAAAACAACATAAAATGAATTAAAATTTAATTAATTACATTTATTTAGAGACATTTTGCATTTTTACATTCATTTTGGTCAGTCAAAACAGTGATGCATGAAATATTATTCATGCCCCTAAACTTTTTTGGGCCCTATAAAAAGCCCATTATGAATATTTTTGCCTCTCAATTTGGGGCTAAAAGCCTTAAGTTGGCAGCACTGCTTGTGACTTTTCATAATTACAATAATTATATATGTATTTTTTTATTTTATGGCCCAGTATCGAGGATCTTTAGGCCAAAGTGGTGGGTGTTATGCAAGATTTATACAAGCAAATGCAAGATTTCTAGTCAGCAGCGAAGGATGGCCATCAGGATCGCACGAGGATATCGTACAATATCTTTGGACGCGGCCACTATCCTAGCTCGATTTCCTCCGATGGACATTCTGGTAGAGATGGATTGACGAGTTTATAAGTTGCCTGGCTAAGTGCAACATAGTATACGCGCGTCACATTTAGACTGACGTAGGTACTCACCGGCCAAGGTAACTTTGGCGAGTACCTAAACGCGAACCGACGGCGAAATGTCACCACTGTGAAGGCGATCGGGACTCCGCGCAACAAGAGTATCGGGGAGGACCTTTCTCCACCATTCGCAGTGGCCGCTGGGCTGGCGGATAATTCTGCTTGGCAGGCGCTGGCCTCCTATGCCTTCTGTGAAGGTGTTATGCTCCAGAAGGATTTCGCCGAGCGGGAAAGGGAGAGGGCCGACCCCGCTCGGACGACGGCGCCGCGCCGGCAGGGGCAGACGTGCTACCCCGTCAGCCCTTTAGTTCCGGGCTCATAGAATAGGACTAAGGTATCTCCTGCTTGTCGTAAAAGGCGACTAAAGGGGGAGAGGGATTGGCAGCAGCTCGAAGTGATCTCGAGCTGCTGCAAGATGGCGAGGGAATCGGGGAAGGTTTACCCTTCTCGGAGGCGTGCTCACGCCCAGTACCGTGGTTCCATAGGAGATTCCCAGGTCCCTCCAAACGTACAGAAGGTGGCCACCGAGGGGGTTCTAGTGGGTAAAGAACCACACATAATTCTGTCATGTAAGATGACAGGGTATCTTTTGAAGATTTCCCCCCCCCCCCCCCCCCCCCCCCCATACCATAAAAACGGGCTCAAGAGCCCCCGAGAAAGGATCTCAGCTTGGGCTGGCACTCAATACCCGTTTAGCATTCCGATTCGAGGGTGCCCGAGAGGGGCGGACCTCGGATCAATCGGCAGCTATAGTCTGACTGGGAGGATTTCTAAAGCTCATCATAAATCATTACTACCACTTCGGAAGGCGTTGGTGTTGGCAGAAGTGACGTAAGAAGCTCAAAAATCGCTTCTATCACAAACTTTGTATATATTAGACGCACACGCTGGCGAGTGCTGGGTTTTCTTGTGTTTTCTTAAATTTTTGATCCTGTCGATGGCGATAGTCGTCGTATCGTCAGGGAAATCGAGTAAGTGTCACGGTCTACGCGACGCAACGAACCCACCGGTGGGTGTCTGTAAGTGACGGCACCTACGACTGGACCATAGAGTAAAGTAATACTACGGACTGGCCTGGGTAAATGTATCATTTATGTCGCGTGAGTTTAAAATATTCAAAACATCCATATTTTCTTTAAATAATATCATTATGTGTAGTCTAGTATTCTAATGCGTTATAAATAGATATTAATCTATTGAGAACATCGAGTTCTATTAATCTTTTCTTAAGGAACAGCCCATACGCGCACACACATACGCGCGCGCACGCACACGCACGCACGCACGCACGCACGCACGCACGCAGACACGCGCACAGACACGCACACGCACGCACGCAGACACGCACACGCACAGATGCACACACGCACGCACGCACTTCAAACGCGCGCGCGAACGCATGCACGAGGTGTGCGCGCCTCAGCTTGCTTTACATTTTTATTGTTTTATTAGTTTTTTTTTTCTCATTTTAGATATTTCCGTGTTTACTTTTTCTAAAAAAAACATTGTTTACTCATAAACTGCTTAATTATTATTGTATACATATATTCTACCTATAAAATGTAAATACTTTCTTGGCTGTAAGTTAAGAATATCTGATATACATGTAAACAACTAAAGGCTGTGGATTTTGTTGCTCAATAAAATAAAATAAAAAAATAAAATATCTTGGGCTGATCCATTTCAATTTAGGTTTTAATTATGAAAGAAAAGATTGCTAAACTGTGTATATAGCTGGATTTGATTTTGAAATGCGCAAAACAGTTATTTAACGCAAATAATGAAGCAAATTTATTTTTTTAAATAAATGCAATGAAATTAAGCACGTCATATTAACATTTCTATTAAAAATCGCGTTTTTAAAATGACACGTGAGATCATGAGGCATGTATACCCTATAATGGAGATCATGGGGCATGTATATATGTATACGTGTAAACAGCGTGTCTTTACAATCGCGACAATAAATGAACACATATATAAAGAATAACTTTTTAAAATTGTATTTAACATTTACATTCTTTAAACATCAATATTTACCGAGTTATTAAATTTTTCAAAACAAACAATTTTATAACATCCTTAAGTATAAAACTGTAACGTAAAGTTCATTTGTAAAGGTCACTAAGCATATGAATGGGTTGAATGAATTTAAAAGAGACAAAACATGCTGTTAGAAAGAGAGGCTTGTAATGCGACGTTGTGTCAACGAATGAAAAAGTCTCTAAATGTATGAATCAGTCAGTTGTAGTTGTATAGGATGTTACAATTTTTGTTTCTTTATTACTTGTTTGTTTGATTTTTTTTTTAATTATGGATTTTTTTAACGTTAATATTCTTTTATGATTATTGGCAAGTAGCGTTAGACGTGTGTTCATTTATTGTCGCGGTGGTGACGACAATGTGGTATAATGGGTACTACACCCATTATAAATAGGCATATTTTAGTGGGATTGGTGGTCGAAGAAATTGAAAAACAAACACAAATTAAATCATGTCAACGACGTTTATCGTCCATTGCAATGTACAGAAAAACGCGATCAGACCTCTGTGCGAGGGCGAGGCACAGCTCCTTGGAGGGGGGGTGCGAATTCTTGGCGGCTTCTTTTTCTCTACGCCTCGTCCTCGCTGGCGGAGACGGACTTCCTCGAGACGGGCGTCTCCGGTCTCGATCCGGACCGGGATCTCGACCGGGATCTGGACCGGGACCGGGATTTGGACCGGGAGCCGCCGGAGCGCGATCCCGAGCGACTCCTCGAGCCGCTCTTCGAGCGCGAGCGCGACCGCGACCGGCTCTTCGACTTGGAGCGGGATCTGCTCTTCGACCTGCCGAAAGGTGACATGATGTAAAGTAAATTAACCGCCTATATGTCCCACTGCTGGGCAAAGATGTCCTGTAGTTAGGGCATAGTCCACCACGTGACCTCATTGTGGATTGGTGAACTTCATATGTCTTTGAAATAATTTTTTTTCTTATCATTTCGAAAATATTGCATGTCTCCCCACGACGTTTTCATTCACCGCTGTGAACAGAGTAAGCACTTAAAATTTAAATTAGCAATTTCATTGTTGCCGGCACCCGGGATTGAACTCAGGTTGCTCGAGTATATTGAATTAAAAGCGAGTGCCTGGATAATAAGCTATCTCACAGCTCTTAACACACCTATTACTGGATACTGGAACAGTCACGAATCGTTTTGTGTTGTCTTTATGCCAAAACTTGTGATTAGAGCGAGAGAGAAAAATAAGATACAGAACACTGAACGAGCAAAACTTTAAATTAATAGAAATGTAGTTACATCAAGTAGGTATGATTGTATTTATTTTTATTTTATTTATTTATTTTGGTTACATCAACAAGATGATCACTAAATTTAGACAATTTATATGTAATGTTAATAATGGGCTTGGTGTGTGCCATCTCAATTATAGGTGCAAACCACTATGCTTTAAATTTAACAAGAACTGAGCTTAAAACTATTTGTGAGACTAAACACTAAATAAATGATAAAAACTCAGCAAATAGTGACTACAAGTTTGCAGCATCAATATTAACAAAAAAGAAAGTATTTGCCGAAACGCAAACTTTCCTTCTTAATGTCTACTATTCGGCATTTTTATTCACCTTGAGCGTGACCTCGACGGGCTCTTGGACCTCGACCCGCTCTTAGAGCGCGACCGGCTCTTCGACCTCGACTGGCTCTTAGACCGAGATCGACTCTTCGAGCGGGAGCCACTCTTGGCGCGGGAGCGGCTCTTCGAGCGGGAACGACTCTTCGCCGAGCCCGACGCGAAGGGCTGCGCGATTTCGAGCGGCTCTTCGACCGAGATCTGTATGAAACAAAAAATAAATTAATAAACAGAATCGTTCCATTCGTAAATGTCCAAAAATGTCTAAAAATAGTCCAATATAAACACCTCATATCTTACTGATTAAATATAAAAACATTATGATGAAACCTGATTATAAAATTGTTTATGCCTTCGCTAAACCAAATTCGAAAAAAAAAAGTTGCCAATGGACACAGACACTTCACGGGGGACATGACTACGAGGCATCAAAAATGGTGGAAGCTAATTTGGACGTAGCGTGCGGCGTACCGGTCGCTGTCCGAGGCGGAGACGATCCTCTTGCGCGCCTTGGCCGCGGGCGGGCTGCGGCTGCGGCTGCCGCTTCCGCTGCGACTGCGGCTTCCGCTTCCGCTGCGGCTTCCGCTTCCGCTGCGGCTGCGGCTGCGGCTGCGCGACTTCCGGGACGCGTCCGAGTCCGACTCGGAGGTGGAGATGGTCTCCTTGGAGACGATCTTCATGCGCTGCTTCGCGCTGAGCTTCTCCTCGGCGGCCCTGGCGCGCGCCTTCTCGCGTTTGCCGATGCCCTTCTCGCCCTGCGGTGTGGTACACCTCGTTACGTCGTAGGGTAAATCGGCCGCCTCTATCGAACCCGGGACTGGCCGCGTCGATGAGTTCTCGCCACCCTCGTACTATTTATGACGGCACGTCACTCGCAACTCTAACTAATAACACAACGAACCAAAAAAAATCAAAGCTATCAGTAAAACGCAAATCGCTCTTTCTCTCTACTTATTTTGCAAAGCCAATGTCAAATTGCGTAACATATCATCCATTTCACTTTTTATATAAGTAAGATGTCACCTTTTTATAAAAGTACGATGTCACCTTTTTATAAATGTCACCCGTTTACGTAAGTGAGATGTCACCTTTTTCCTGCCGCGCTTTGTGGGCGGGTCGCTGTCGGTGCCACTTCCGCGCTGATCCCGCCGCTTGCGGGATTTCCCCTTTTTGCCTTCGCCGCCCTCTTTCTTCCGGTTCTTGCGTTGTTTGGCTTCACCGCTGTAGAGAGAAATCGACAATGAATCGCCGCGCATACTTATTATAGAGGTTAGACATGTTATAAGGTACTGTGAATTTTGCATATAGGTATTGCATTTTTTTAAAACGTTGCCCTTACTATAGTATAGCATTATCCTGTGTTTTAAGGACGTGTTTATATCACGTGGACAAAAACCCAGATCCGAAACAATTATTCGTGGGTCACACGGTATTTATATTTATTTAAGCGAGTGTATATTCCATATATTGTATATTAAAGTATAAATAAATAATAAAAGGTGCGTGGAGTCCCTCCGTGCGGAAGAAGTGAAACTTCGGGTGCCTCGCATTCACTCTCGCTTTGTCCCTTTCTATTCCCCCTCCCCGGGAGCGTTGAACGTTTAACGCAACCTTGTCGGAAGTCGCATTAGAAGTTTGTTTGTTTGTATATTCTTTATTGTACTAAAAGTTTGTACAAAGGCGAACTAAATAGCATATAACACATAATAGCATATGATATGGTAATGCTAAACAGCATTTTCTTCCAGTTAACAATACAAAAGTGTCAGACGTAAAGAATATGGCAAGACTAAATATACTTCAACATAAATACAAATAATAACAATAGGCTACTTGACTCATATCAAATTTGACCCTCTCAATAAAAGTGCAAGATGACTGCACAATTTCAATTCAAAAATTGCTACTTTTATTTTTTGTTCTAAACGCTGAAAACGCTTGCGGCCATGATGTGACGTCACATCACTTGTAAACAAACCGTTGTTAATGATAGCAGTGTTACCAACTGTTCAAAAAAAATTCTCCTTAAATGACTATTTCATTAAACATGATAAAAAAAAACTAAATATAATATTTCATTTTTTTTATATTACTTTAGAAATGAATATGTTAACATAAAATCAATAAAATATTTAAAAAAAATTTAATTACTAATAATTAGAATAAATAAACTAAAATAAGCAGTTAGTAATATTGTAAACATATCCGACGACAGTTTTACTCACCGTTCTTCCCTCGGCCCCTCGCTGCCGCTGCCTGGCGAGTCGGAGACGTACTCGTCGCGCCTTCGCCCCCTGCCGCGGGACTTCCCCTCCTGCGGCATCTCAGCGAACACGAGCGCGTTCTTCGTCTTCTCCTTGAACTCCTGCCGCTTCTGCAGCATCTCCACCGTGCTCTTCTGCTGCTCCTCCTCGCGCCGCTTCCTCTCCTCCTCCTGGTGGTTGGAACGTTTTGGTGCGGATTAAACTTTTAAACTAACCCTGGGATTAATAAAAAGTACAGTATTTCCTCTCTATGAGTTGTTGCTCTCTATCTCTATGAGTTGTTGCTCTCTTTTTTTGGTTTCTGTTTTGCCATTACGTCAACCATTCTCAACCCATTATCCAATTTTACCGAAGCTATAAGTCTAACTCACAAAGAAAGGCGATTTGTGCAAGGTATACTCGAAGGGTGAGTGAGTGGTTATGCGAAGAAAGAGCGATGTAAGAGGTTCATAATAATAAGCAAGAGGTAAAACTTATGTTTTACCTTTAGTTTTTTTTTGTTAGAGGTGTGTTGACACAGAGCAGACTTGCTCTGCGGGAGACTTAGGTGCGTACAAATAGGCGTAACGTAAGAGTCACTTGGTGTGCTAGCGAGAGGTAAGGATTGGACTTTGGAGCAGCGAGTTGTGAACAGAGATACGGGAAGTATGAACAGCGAGAAGTGAATTATGATCATCAAGAGGCGAGTAATGTTCATAGAGGCGAGTAATGATCATCGAGAGTAGAGTTACAATCATCGAGGGGCGAGTTACGATCATCGAGAGGCGAGTCGTGACCATCGAGAGGCGAGCAATGATCATCGGGAGACGTGCGCCCACCTGCTGCCTGCGGAAGGCCTCGCGCTGCTCGCGCTGGCGGTCGCGCAGCGTGAGCTCCTCGTCGTGCTGGCGGCGCGCGCGCGCCACGTGCCACTGCGCCTGCGAGAGCAGGTCGCCGCAGGTGCGCGCCTCCGCCGCCGCCGCGGCCGCCTCGTAGCGCGCCCGCTCCGGGCCCTCGCCCGTCGACGTCGACAGCCGCAGGAAGTAGCTGCAAGGGATCGCCGCTGTATTCGGCTTTGTTGAAACGTTGCCCCGTTACCGAGACCGCGCCGTATGTCCGTATCTCGTGTACCGTGCCAGTTAGACGGGTGTAATTTTCACAGATTGTGTGTTTCTTATGCCGCTATGACAACAGATACTTAAAATCGAAACAATAACAAATATGTAAGCGGGGCTCCCATGCAACACAAATGGTTTTTTTTGCCGTTTTTATAGATTCCACGGAACCATTCGTGCGCGAGTCCGACACTTTTTTTTAATGCGTTGTCACCTTTTAATGAATTGGGCCCCTTAACGCATGCTCCTTTATACGGTACCAAAGAAGTAAATTTTTAAACGTGGAAATAGAACTGTGGGGATTTCAGACAGGGTATGCACTAAAGAGAAATTGGTAATTTCTCTAAGTGATTGATGATACATCAAATTTATGTCTCTATGTTTCATGCAAATAAAGCTTATTATAATTACTATCCAAAGTGACATTTGAAAAGGCTGAGAAATGTTAGGTTTGTTTTCTTTAACTCAAAAAACCAAAAAATTACAACTTAATCGTAACTCTTGGGTTTTTTTACAGTGTCCTTGTTTTTTGCATGTTTGTATGGGACATCATCGATTGTGAGTTTCATCTTGAGCTCAGAGAGTGGTGCTAAACACTAAAAGCCGAAACAGACAAAATCTAGGCGCGCTCGAGCTGAGGCGCCGACGAGTCGGACTCAATCCCGATGCGCTCGAGCTGAGGCGCCGGCGAGGCACGCACCGGTGCGAGACCTGCAGCTCGTGCACGGCGCGCAGCACGACCGCCAGCTCGCTGCGCTCGTCCTTGAGCACGTGCGCGGCGAGGCGGCGCAGCGCGAGCGCCGCGTTGTAGAGCAGCGCGGCGTCGTGCGGCGCCACGCGGCGGGCGCGCAGCAGCGCGGCGCGCGCCGCCTTCGGCCGCCCCGCCAGGCTGTGCGCGCGCGCCAGCCACGTCAGCCACTCCTCGTCGTGCTGCATCCGGAACTTGCGGATGCAGTTCTCGTACTGCGCGACGTTTATTCGGTTATTTGTTTCGACTTTAATGCACCTTAAGCAGAGGGCTATGTTGGGCGGATTTAATGCATAATGGCATCCTCTACCGGTCAACCGATGATCCGGTGACAACATATAAGTGAAAGTGGCAAACGAGCTGGCGGTTCAGCTGATGTTAAGTGATAACCGCCACCCATTGAAATTGGCAACACCCGTAAGGTTGCAAATGCGTTGCCACCTTTAAATAAAATAGGCCCCGGCTACCTCATTCACCAGACGAAACGCAGAAGTGTAACACTTCGTAGAAGGTCCGTCTGTGAGGTCGTGGTACTTAACCGGACGGACCAACCCATTCGTGCAACAGTGAATACTGTTGCGTGGCCCTGCCACACATCGAACTCAAGTTGCTCGAGTATATTGAATTAAAAGTGTACGTCCGGACAATAAGCTATCACGGCCTTGCTTAAACATAAATACATTTAGCGATCTTATCGATAGGCGCGTTCTGCAGAAAACAGCGCTCGAGGGCTTTCGTGAGCGGCTTAAATAAATTCCCAAAGAAAGTCTGTTTCACATTTAAAAAATGGAATTACAAAGGGTATTTTTACGCGAGCGCTTTAAATCTTACCATCTGGATAGCGTTTATGTACTGCTTCTGTTCCACGTAGATGTGGGCTATGTTCATCCAAACGTCTGGAAAGTCGGCGGTCGCCTCGCGCACTTGGGCGAAAATGTCGCGAGCTTCGTTAACGCAACCCTGCAAAGATCGGTTTAAAATCAGCGTTTTTATCCCACACATATCTAGATTAATAAAGCGTGAGTGTAGTTCATATTCAGCCTAAATAACACATAGAAAAAAATAACGCAACCCCGCCAAAAATCCGTTTAAAATCAGCTTATTACCCCATACGCATCTAGATTAATAAAACGTGAGAGTGCCATGTGACCGTTTCTTATGAAATTTAGGGATTCAGCTTAAATAACGCATTAAAAAAAGGTGTGTGTTCTTATGTATACAGAAAAATAACTAAATTTATTCCCGTCTACACTGTGTATAATGATTTAAATAGATATGTGAGAATTATAGATAAATGACAAATAGTTGTGTTATTTGGTTGCCATGGTAACACCATGAAGTTGGTCTGGTTTTTAGGCGCGCATCGTAAAAATTCTCTCTCATCGTTTTTCCCAAGTGCCCCAAAGGAAGCGTAACTTCAAAAACAATGAAAATAAATGTAAGCAATTAAAGTGAGTCATCTGTACGGAGAGTAAAGTTGGTTGCAACGAAACATATTATTTAGTCTTAAAGCTTTTAATTCGATCGACTTTTGCTCCAGTTGATATAATAACAAAGTTTTCCTATGATGATTTCTTGGCTGATAGGAACCAATACAATTATACAGGTGTCTTTTAAATTTCAAGTAGCACTAATATTGGCACAGTGGTCGTTGATAATCAATTTAATTATTAAAGATTATTAACTCAAGGCGACTATATCTCATAAATAGATTAATAATAGATTATAACTTTAAAAGTTTTTTATCGAAAATAATGATAGAGAACTTTTATGGTCCTTCAAACCGGATCATTTGACATGTGTTTTATAATATTGTGCATTATTGTGCTCTTAATGAAAACTTAGCTTAAATAAAAACTGCTGGATTAAGAAAAGTGACACAAAAAAATTCACCTTGTGCGCCAAAACACATCCGATCCCGTTTGCGGCCCAAATATTTTTGGGATCGTTTTTCAGCACCTGCTTATACATAGTGAGGGCACGCTCTTGATGTCTCTTCTCCCTGTCTTTCTCCCGACACGGCTGATGGAGTGTCTGGAGCCACACATTGCCTAAAACAATAAACAACAACGGCAATGAAAGCATGTAACGGAAGCTCTTGCGACGACGTATCCATCAAGGAATGGCACGTGTACTTTTTTTGTTACAAAGGTTATAGAACATTCTCTTATTGAACCTTCCAGAGAGGAACCGGCACGAATATCTGCGGTCTTGTTATCTCTTTTTTTTTTTTAATTATATAAGTACACAAAACTGTTTAAGTATAAAAATCAGCAGCAGCCAGGGGCTTTGCAAATGCAGAGCAAATCATTTCCACACGTCCTTGTCCTCAATGTGTTCTTCGACATTACAATAGGTGCTTTCACAAAATGTTAAAAACTGGAGGCCGTCGGTTAAGCGTAGTGCAGTCGACTTACGCGGTTCCTAACATTCATAACAACTGGTAACTCACTTTCCGTGTATGTAATGCAACGGCTCGTAAGAAAAACGCCTCGTTTTGTTAATAGGGGAACCGGGCGTACGCGCCATTTATCTACAGGTCGTTATGAGAGTTAAGAAGCTATGTAACTAACGGCCGTCCGTTGGATACGGGAACCGGGCATTACCGAGCGCTATCAAAGAGTAGGCGTCCGTGGAGGTGGCGGAGTTCTGCAGGATCCTCTCGAACTTCTTCTGGCCGGGGCCCCACTCCTGCTGCGCCAGGTGCAGGTTGCCCAGCAGCGACCACGTGTCAGGGTGCTCGGTGTTCACCTTCAGCGCCTCCTTGAACCAGTCCGACGCGTCGTATATCCGCCCCTTGTCCCGGGCCATGCATCCCAACCTGCAAGGGAACTCGACCCTGCAATTAAACTGCCTTCTCGCTTCGACTGTTCCGTACAGCAGCGCTACAACCCAACCTGCAAGGGAATTAGACTCGAAAAGCTGCCTTCTCGCTTCGACTTGGCGGTACAACAGCGTTACAACCCAACCTGCAAGGGAATTCGACTCTAAAAACTACCTTCTCGCTTCGACTTGTCGGTACAGCAGCATAACAACCCAACCTGGAAGGGAATTCGACTCTACAACCTGCCTACTAGCTTGGACTCGTCGGTAAATCGGCGTTGCTCGATGCAGATGGAGTCGAGTGAGTGAATGAATGAATGAGTGTATGGATTAACATTTGTAAAAACAAGTGCGAGTCGGACACGCGCACGAAGGATTCCGTACCATTATCTATAAAAAAGGCAAAAAAAATCATGTATGTTGCTTGGTGATCGAGCCCCACTTAATTCTTTTTAATTCTGTTTTTTAGTTTGTGTTGTAATAACGGAAACAGAAATACATCATCTGTGAAAATTTCAACTGTCTAACTACCACGGTTTATGAGATAGCCTGGTGGCAGACGGACAGCAGACAGCGTAGTCTTAGTAATAGGGTCCCGATTTACCCTTAGTTAAGGAACCCTAAAAATGGACTAAAAGTCTTTCGCTACAGCGGCAATCTAACCCAAGTTTTTCGGATTCGCGACCGCTTTAACCATTAAGCTACACGGCCGATTGCCACACCGACGAAAATCTCAATGTATTTTATCTTCATTGTTGTTTCGCATTTTATGCAATGCCAGGCGCATCTATTGTTATACAAAAAGGATTTCAAATAATTATCATATTACATCGACTTTTGGAATTCGACCTCTTCGAATTCGAATTGAAACAGCCTATAATTAAGTCTTAATACTGTAAATACAGTTCAATAATGTAGATATGAAAACATACTAAGGCCTAATATGCCTACAATTGCATACGTTAATTCAGGCTACCTTAATTAAATTTTGTAGAAAGAAGAAGTCAGTGGATTGTTGCAAAGTCGAACGACTTATCACTCAGGCTCAAAAGCGAATTAACGTTTAACAGTTTATCAGTAATTAAAAAAAAAAAACATTTGTTTAAACGAATATAATCACCTCAAATAGCAGTCGATGTAATTCGGATGCTCTTTCAAGATGTCCTTGTACAATTTCTCCGCCTTGTTATAGATGCACAACGCCTCGTTCAGCCTCGCCAAGTTGTACATAGTTGTGACCGCAATGGAATTGTAGTACTGGGCGTCCAGAGTTTTCGCGTCGGCTTTTTCTCTGATAGACAATAATACAGATGACGCGTGTCCATATTGCGCGGCGTTTAAAAACTGTTCCGCTTTACATTATCCTTACTCATACATATACAGCGTGTCTTTACAATCGCGACAGTAAATGAACACACATATAGAGGATAACTTAAATTTATTAAATTAATAAATTGTATTAAAATGTATTAAACATTTACATTCTTTAAACATCAATTTTTACAGAGTCATTAAATTTTCCAAAACAAAGAACTTTAGAACACCCTTACGTATAAAACTGTAACGTAAAGTTCATTTGTAAAGGTCACAAAGCATATGAATGGGTTGAATGAATTTAAAAGAGACAAAACATACTGTTAGAAGGAGAGGCTTGTAATGCGAAGCTGTGGCGCGAGTTGTATAGGATGTTACAAATTTTGTTTCTTTTTTACTTAATTAGTTTGTTTGAAAAATATATTTTTTTAATTATGGATTTTGTTTAACATTAATAGTTTTTTATGATTATTGGCAAGTAGTGTTAGACGTGTGTTAATTTATTGTCGCGATGGTAACGACACGCTGTATATTATAATGAAACTTATAGATTTTAATGAAACTTTACAATAACATAGCTTATACATCAGAATAACACATAGGCTATAATTTATACAGATATTGTGTGAATTGTCCAAAATATAGGTAATGATAAGTGTCAACTAAGTAGGAAAAATTCAGCCATCTGCGAGATATAATTCTGATGTATAATAAAAAAACTCATCGTTAATTCCATTGGGCCGCGCCGGCGAAACCGCGGTTAACAGCTAGTATTCCATATTAAATAAGTGAATGTGACAGATGATATAGAACGTACGACACGGAAATAGATAGCAGTCTATGGGATTGCAATCCTATTACACCAATTGGCGTAATTTGAGTGCACTGAGGCACAGGCACAGTTAGTCCGCTAGTGTCGTATCTACCTCGTATTTGTATAATATACATATAATATCGGTGCAATGAAAGCATATCTTGATAAGCACTGAAATTAGAATTATTATTGAAATTATTCCATCGAGGCTACGATTTTTAATGGATTTAATTGTGTTCAGTTTATATTCAGAAATGGCGAAATTTCATAATTACATTTTTTTGTCCAAAACCCTAACGTTTTCTTGATTAATTTGTTGAAAATAAAAATACATTGTCACAACCGAGGGGTTGACGTCTTAAATGTCAAAAATCAGCGACGACAGTTTCGAACGTACATACATGTATCTTTCAATTTTATCATCATTAGAATTATCATCATCAGGATTTAATTAATTCAAAACTGGCCATTGACCACTTGACTGTCGTCCCATCCCACCTGACGGTAAGTGGCGATGCGGCCATCGTGAATATTTAAACAACAAAAGTTTCACTCGAATCCCGAACGTGATATCAAAACTAACCTTTCCAACGCTTCTTCCAAATATTTTTTGGCCTCGTCCAAATTTCCCAGCCTGTAATGGAGCGCCGCCACGTTATTTAATATTTCCGCCGGTATGTCTGCGTTCACTTTCTCCTTCAGGATTTTCATCGCAGTGCTGTAGGCGTTTAGAGAGCCCTGCAAGAAGTGGTTTCAACAGAACTTTTACTTTAATAATCACAGATTGTTTTTACTCATTTTAACTGTTTTCGCCTAGTTTATTGTCAAACAGATTTCCTGTCGCCCCACTTACTTGTAGAAACTTAAATAGTATTATCAGTCCATGTATATACCTAAATTTGTTGCACTGTTTATTCACTGTTTATTCACTGTTTACCACTGTTTTTAATGTTTTTTACTGTTATTTCCTTTATCAATTATTTGTTTTTAATTTATTAACTCTTGTTTTATTTTGGATTTTGTAACAAAACAAAATATCTTTAACTGTATTTTTCTCGCCCATTATATTGCATGCTGTCAGCGCCTTTAATTGTAATGACACTAACGAACAGTTGATGTATATTTATTTTCCTTAGTCTTAAATAGTGTACATTATGTTGGCGTTCTTTAAATAGATAAATAAATAAACTGTTAAATGAAACTACTTTACGGATTTTGTCGTGTTTAATTACATTTTTAAATACACGTGTCGAACTTTTTCCAGCGTTGAAAATGGTTCCCTTTCGATTATTGGCAAGGTATTTAAAAATCTAACTAAACGGTACAAAATCCGTAAAATACATTCATTTAACAGTTTATAATATTCGCGTAAAAACAAGAAATCAATACAATTTTATAATTCAATATCTTATACAATTTTCTATTTCATAACTTTATTTGTAAAGTTAATGAATAATAATTATTCACAATAGACGCTTTTTAACAGCTTTTATTTCCATCTCTCGATTATTCGTCTTATTTTTAACGATTTTCTAAGTAGCTTTATTAATATTATAATAAGACAATTAGTGGTACAAGTGTGGGGCAGAAGGAGTCGCTAGTGATTAATAAGTGTGGGGCAGTTGCCAAGGTATTGGCTTCGGAATTAGGGATCGATGGTTCGAATCCTATACGATATAACTATTTGTGTGACCCACATACATTTGTTTCTGATCCGAGTGGCTTGTCCACGTGAAATTTATGTATAAAAAATCCTTACAGCACGATAATGTTATACTACATTATGTGCCAGTATTTTCGATGGTAACACTAAAATTTGTCGTTGGGACTTACAATATATAATTATCATTTCAGCCTGTTTGAGTCTACTGCTGAACATAATTATGCCTCATAAAGCATAGGTGATTTTTTAGACGAAGTACATGCTTTGACATAATGTTAATTGAGCATTCCATAATTCAAAAAAACTATTAACATTTTATTATGACAAGAAATAACCAGAAAAATATCAATTCAAACATTATTTGTTTATCCCGTTAAGAGTGGTCACCCTATTGATAAGCGGTTTAGTAATTATGCGTACAGCGAAAATTTTTAGTGCTCGTGAATAGTTTGTTGTATTGAGACGGTAAGGCAGGAATTTCTTAAGGTTTAAATGTTTAAAAAAAATTATAAACAATCTTTGAAAAAAAAGATGAGGTCACAAGTAAGTACCAGATTGAGATTTAGAATCAAACTCTGCATACGCTCTCTTAATATTATGTCCGTCGTATATAAAATCACCCTGTGTATGTACGCAGTAAATAATTCTGTTCCAATATCTGTTCACAAAATAGAAATACCTGTAAATCATTCTGTTCCAATATCTGCGCCAGCTCGATCCACGCCTCGACATCGTCCGGAAACTGCTCGGTGACCTTCTTCAGGTGCTGACGTGCTATGTCGCGTTTCGACTGCGACGGGGAGTTTGCGTAGAGCGAGCCCAGAATCTTCATCGTTTCGTAATTGCCCGGCTGCGCTTTCAGAACCTTCTCGAAGCATTGCGCCGCCTGGAAACGAAGAGATAAGCTGAAGACGACTAATCCCAAGATATATAGCTTGGAAGCCGCTTTCTGCATAAGACAAATCTCTAGGAAGCATAGCTTGAGAACTGAATTACTTTAAACCATAAACACTGGAAAGATTTTTGCTAGAAATAAAAGAGCAATTAACTGAACCTATAAATTCGATTCGCGACTAAGAATTATTATTTTTAATCCTTTGAGATTGAAAAAAAATTTGTGACCGCATTGATTAATGGAATAAACCGGCCAAGTGCGAGTCGGACTCGCACAAGAAAGGTTCCGAATCATCTTTAACAACGGCAAAAAAATCATGTCTGTTGTATTGGAGCCCTAATTAAATGTTCTTTTATTGTTTAGTATTTGTTTATATTATTTATTAGTATCTTTTGTTATAGCGGCAACAGAAATACGTCATCTGTGAAAATTACAACTGTCTAACTATCACGGTTCATGAGATACAGACCGGTGACCAACGGACAGACAGACAGTGTAGTCTTAGTAATAGGGTCCAATTTTAACCTTTTGGGTACGGAGCCCTAAAAAAAGAAGCCTGATAATCATGCGTACTAAAAGTTAACATTATATACATTTTCGGTATCCCCCCTGTAAATATACATCTGTCCAAGTCCGTAATGTGGTAAAACGAAGTTGGGTGGGGCAAACTGTGTTGCCTGATAATAATATTGGAAGGCTTGATCGCAATCGCCCTGAGCGTGGAACGCACGGGCGAGATGGTGGCAGCTCTCTGCTCGCATTGCCTCATTCTCCGTATTGTGAAAGGCGTGCATTGCTAAATGTAACACCTTTCCATAATCCTGAAATATAAATTGATAAATATTAAATAAAAAAGTTCAAATAGAAAGTTCCTTCCTTTAGAGACAATATGTACCTTCTTGAAGAAGAAGTGATTCGCCAGATGATTCAAAACCATAGGGTTTTTAGGGTCGATGGCATACGCTTTAGACAGCATGATGACTGCCATTTTGTTAGATTCATTCTCTTGTAGATTCAGCTTCAAAATAGACAGACCTACTAAAGCACCTACACATTGAGGGTCCAGTTGGAGTGCCCTCTCAAAAGCCATCCTGCAAATGCAAAGTGCTTTCTTTATGTTCCACTTTTAGACAAAGCAAGAATTAAATATTAAGTTATTCTCAAAGTGCAGTTTATTTCATTGGAATATCTGTACTGTTATATTAATAGTATAAAGTAAGTAAATACAAATTAGATTTCATTGAAATAGCTTTAAGTTTTTAGATTGATCCTTCCATTTGTTATGATTCAATTTAATGTAGACAACAATCACACCCAGAATCTGCAATTAGCATTTAAATAGCAAAATTAATTTACTGAATAAGCTTTAAAAACTGACAAAATAGTGTGTTCCTTCTTTTCCAATAGTTTTAAAAATTAACTGCACTAAAAGAAATCCATGGTTATGTGAGGTTTCAAAGACACAACTACACCCAAATTAATTACCATGTATGGAGCATACAAATTTATCAATCAACACCATCTTATATATTTGGTATTCAGTTAAACATGGTAAAAGAGTCGCTAAATTGGTTGAATACCAAATATTTGTTGCAAGTTGAATTTAAAGTGATAATTATACTTCACTTTTTAAAAATGTTCTATATTTTAGCATATTATTTTACCTGGCTTTTTCTTGATTGTTCAATTTCATGAAACAGTGGCCCATTCCAAGACGCAGAGCGGCTGGGCTATCAGGATTAGTTCTGAGTGCTTTTTTATAAAATGCAAGAGCACCTCTGTAATCTTTGCAACAGGCTACTAATCACTTACTTGATCATACATGATAATTTTGTCAGCCATTGTATATAACAGAGTTGCTTTAGTAAATAGCTCCTTCTTTTTGTCCTTTAATTTCTCCTTATTAGCTTCCTGTACATAGTATGCTGCCAACATGTCTAGTGCCCGCATTTGGTCTCTCTCAAAATCTCTATAATCAATGTTAGCATCCACTCTGGATGCCTCCAAGATCTTAAGGAAGTCATCGATTTTCTTTTGTTTATAATATGCCAACTGCAAAAAGTAGGTATTAGAGTTGATTATAAGTAGTTTCATTGGAGAAGATATTAAAATACGAGGTTATATAAATTTCAAATTGCTCACTGCAACATTGATCCAAACATTAAGTTGTGAACGTTCTTGCTGTAATATACTAAGGACTTCATCACCGGATGGTAGTTGTTCTGGATCCAGCTCAATCACCTACAGAATTTTTAAAACATTTAAAAATATCCTACAATATTACAAATTAATAAGACGTCAAAGAATTATAAACACAAACATCACCTCATCTGTGCTCATCAAGGGAATTTCGAGCGACATTTTGGTTTAATATTGGGACAAATTCACTACATAACTTATAAAATTAACCTTTCAAACATTTGTGCACTTCACAGACGATATGAAACAATGTTTTTTTTTGTATAATATTATACGAAGCCAACCAAATGTTTGACGTAAAATGGTGTCAAATGTTATGAACCAAGTGTCAAATTGGAATAGAAATGAAAAAATATCGATATATTTAGCCGATATATTTTGATCCGTTATATCGTTAGAAAATGTTCATTAACGAAATCGTATCAAAGACGATGACAAATTTGTTGAATAAAATTGATGTTTTTTTTTTTTTCGATATATCGTGGCTGATATTGATATTTTTATAAATATCGACACATTTCTTCAGTTTTGGCATCCCTAAATTGGAATGACAATTTTTGACAAGCTTTGACGTTTCTAGTAATCATTGTTACATTTGCATTTGACAGTATGGACATGGACCATAAACCAAATATATTTTTTGGCTGGTTCGACCACTATTGGCTTTGGGTTGCCTTTTTTATTTGAGGTGGCTGGGCGCTGAGGGCGCCTAGGCTGAACCTCGGTTACGGATGCCTAAGCTCGAGGGCTCTCGAGGGAGCCGTGGCTCGGGCCTTCACGTCTTTATTATTATTAGATTCACCGGTTTAGGAGGCCACCAAGCTTAAGTTGCTTTAAGGCCTCCTCCCTCGGAAGCCTCGGCTCGGGCCTTCACGCCATTATTATTCTTTGATTCACCAGTTTGGGAGGCCGCCAAGGTCTGAGGTTGCTTTGGGGGACGCTCTATGTAGTGACTGGGCTCAAGGCCCCCGAGAAAACCTCGGCTAGGACTGTCACTCGTTTAGCTTTCCGATTCGAGGACGGCGAGTGCGGCAATCATATAATAGGTTTCCCCCGTTAATGATAGAAGCGTTGCTGGAGTTTCTTCCGCCACTTCTTCTCCCAGCGCTAACGCTTTCTCAAGTGGTAGTAATCATAGGTTTAGAAATTCTCCCAGTCAGTCGAACCGTCCCAGTCAGTTTTTAAGGATGGTCGAAATCTCATTAATTGACGCAACTTCCAGCTCGCCGTTCTGCTAAAGCTTGTTGCAAATTATATGCACACTACCTATTCTATTTTAAAGGTTATTCAAATAATTTAAGTGGAAAGTATTTAACTTATTACCGAGTAAAAATTTCATAGTTTTTGATTTGATTCTGTAAATTATAATAATACGTAGATAAGTTGCATTACGAAATATTTAAGTGACGGATAAAAATAATACGATATTATATTCAAACTAAGTATATTTATTTTACGTTATTATTTAAAATATATAATGTTAAGCACATACAATATTACATTAATGTCTTTATTAAAAAATAGGTAGGTGTAGTTAAAATCTTTCTTTGGCTTGATATATTCAATATTAAGTAATCACAGGTATTAAAAAAAATTAGTGCCTCAGGTTTTCAAAGATATTATAATATTAGTAATAAGAGTAATAACATCGTGAGATTAACGTAAAGAATTCGTAGCTGCAACACGCATGCAGAACGAATTCACGTAAACTTTATTTCTTTCCAATGCTTCAATGCATTAAAAATTAATAGTACTTTTTAATACTTTAAATTCAACCATTATGCATTGCAAACAAAATGTACCTATCAAGAGATTTATTAAAACTACTTCACGGAAAGTGAAACTTTGTTAAAATCTGTGGTCACCGACACCGTCCTGTGACCATAATAAATGCTGCAACTATTCGTAAAATAGTTTACCAGTATGCTGTATTCGCGTATATTAAAGAAATCATTATGAATTAATAAATTTTATATCTTTCGACTACAGGCTGTATATTACTTACAAAGGTACATAAAATTATTAAACAATACCTAACATTTTCCTTTTATTGGACTATTCACTATTTAATAGAAGTAGAACTTCTTAATCATAAAAATTGAGCGGCACATTTTTAAACATTAACAAAAATTTTAATATACAGGATGTCCCAGAGAGGATTTATAACGCCTAATAGTACAGCTATCAGTGTTTGAAAAAAAAAAAAGAGTAAATTTGACTGAAGGCAGAAAATTAAATAAAATCCGCAAATGGTAACTGTCGAATCCGTATCTTAGATATCTGAATCTACAGAGGTCACATTACCAGTTAGAAATAAATTATTGTACTGGTATATTAAACGGGAGGTCCATTTGAACTTTAAACTTTCCGGAAGCTTATCAGGCTATAGTCATTTGATTTATTTTTATAAATGATCTGTTAAATTTAATATTTAAGGAGGGGAGAGAATCCCACTTCGACTAAATGAGGGTTGTCCTGCAAATAGTCTGTTTGTATTTCAGTCAAAATAAGTGGATTGGTCCTTTGTCTACCATTTTGTGGCATCTACGATCCCATTACTACCAATAAAGTAAACTAAGCCTGGAGAAATTACGCAATCGTGATAAAGACGCTATTTCAAAAAATAACTGAACGACGTCACGTACAATTACACGGAAGAGCAATAATTAGAAGATGTCAAGCATATAACTAAATTAATTTTTTTTTTAAAATATTTAGCACACATTTTTACACAACATTCTCCAAACTGAGCAACGCTTGTACTATGGGTGCTATATAACTGATAAACGTGCTTAAACATACATAATATAAATATATAAACACCCAGACACTGGAAAAACACTATGTTCATCACGCTATATTTTCCCAGTAGTAGGGATCGAACCCGCACCCTCTGTCGCAAGAGGCAGTTTCACTGCCTACTACGCTAATCGAGGCATCAAACGGTCTTCGGTGGCAGACAATTAGATCACCTAATATAAGTTGAACAAAAATCAATTTATTCACAACTTAAAGCTTTCATTATTACTACAATTGAAAGTTCTTTTTTTTTCTATAGTCAAACTTACTCTGTCAAACACACACAAAGTCAAACTTACTAAAAATTTTCATCTTGATAGCAGTAACTTCATATATAAAGTAGATAAACCACCAGGGTTACCCATTCTTCCTGGGACATACTGTATAAAGCAACATTTAATACAAATAGAATTTGTTGTGTGTATTAATTCCTGAAAACATTTTGAGTAAAAATTAAATCACAGTAACATAGGAATATAAGACGTAATATATAAACATTTATAAAAAAATTAACATACAAATATAATAAACATTTATAAAGTATGAAACATAACAATATTTTTTTAAATTAATGTGAGCATTGATTTACTTACAATTGCTTACTTGGTCAAGTACAATGAATAAGCACAGTTCACAGCTAATTTTAGTTGATAGTTGAAACATATGCAATATTTATAACTTTTAATATTATGCTTCTTTTAAGTCTTAAGTTGTAATATACATAATATCTATAATCATAACATTTTTATTGGCATTCTGTTAAGGCTCAATCTTAATTTCATTTAAGATAATACAAAAAAAAACAAAGCAAGCACCACAAATTTAGTTAGTATTCATTGATCAAAGACTAGAAAAAAAAGTAATATAAGTAGTATAAAACAAACAAAAGCAGTAATATTTCCTTGAACTAAAGAACTACTGCCGATTTGTTATTGATATTGATTAAAAATTAACACAAATATTTTTAACAAACAATGATATGCAAAATTGTATTTGATTTTTACCTTTTTCTATACAGCGTGTCTTTATAATCGCGACAATAAATTAACACACATATAGAGGATACATTTTTAAAATTGTATTAAACATTTACATTCTTTAAACATAAATATTTACAGAGTTATTAAATTTTCTAAAAAAACGAATTTTAGAACACCCTTACGTATAAAACTAAACTGTAACGTAAAGTTCATTTGTAAAGGTGACAATGAAAGAAACAAAACATACTGTTAGAAAGAGAGGCTCGTGGCAACTATTGAAAAAGTCTCTGAATGTATGAATCAGTCAGTTGTAGTTGTATCGGATGTTACAAATTCTGTTTTTTTACTTAATTAGTTTGTTTGAAAAATATTTTTTTTAATTATGGATTTTGTTTAACGTTAATATTTTTTATGATTATGCAAGTAACGTTAGACGTGTGTTCATTTATTGTCGCGGTTGTAACGACACGCTGTATACTCTTTGGTGCATTTGATACAGTTTATGTAGCTTTTGTATGGATTGAGTGATGGAGGTCATATTTTTTTTACATATTTATCTTGTCGGAATTACAGTATAGTTAGGCTAGAATAGTGCCATCAACCAAGAAAGTAAAAATTTCGCATACCAAGCTAATTACTCTACGCCAGGGGTGTAAAATAATATTTTTTCATCATTTTAATTTGAGAACGAGATGCTCTTTAGTAACGTATGGCTAGATGAGGAAAACGTATTTTCGAACATGGTACAAGGGTTCAAGATTAATTCTTTCTACACATGGTCTATTCTATTTCTATGAATAATTACCACCCATTTTAAACATAAAAATGGTTTGAATAAAACAGAATAAACTTGACTGAAAACTATTTTCCTTATAACATAGATATTAATATCAGAAATTGCATAACTAACTCTCTTAAGCTATAAACTATAGATAAAATCGACCATGGACGCAGAAGAGGACATATTCTGTATATTATTGGTGTATTGACATGGCCATATGCCTTACAATTACTAAAAAACTGAATTAACATTCCTAATTCATATAATACTTTTCTACAATATTTCCTAATACATTAAATATGTATACTATAACATAATACCTATCATTTCCATACAATTCCTTAGCTTTAATGTAGAAACTACTTTAAAATTCCTTAAAAATTGTTGCTACAATTTTAAATGTGTTTAAAAATTTCATTTAAAATTCGAGAACATGGCAGTTGTCATTTTCAATATTTGATACTTTATAAAACATCTTATAGATAATAACACATTTAAACATGTCTTATGGACGACACAAGTGCTTTTTGTTATAAAGTTTACTCTTTTGGGGTCAAAAATACCAATAAAGAGTATTCATGTTATAGTTTAATATGTCATTTCAAATATAATGTTAAAATTATAAAAAAAAATAGACATATTAAGTATTAAATAAACAATTTCCTTCTATTATAAATTTGTATCATAAGTTTGATATTTGGTTATTTTAAGCGATACCAGTAAAACTATGCTTAATCAGTGTAATATTTATATGTAATATTACTGGCTATCATAAACAAATGTTAATTTAGCACCCCTAAAGGGCTTTGTGCGATTTGTTTCCATTTTAGTGTGTGAATAAAAATTCCATGTTGTGAATCAGGAACACAAGTAAAATATGTTATATTTTCTTTATAAGTTCCGTAGAATAACTATGAAGTAGAGATTTGGAGTGTGAATTAATTTTAACCTAGTGCAACACTGGCAAAAATATATTTGCCCATTATTTGAATTTTAATATGATATATTTTGTTCAGTTACAAAAATGTAATAGCTTCGAATAATAATGTTATAGTGTATTGACAGAAGTAGGCAAGGAATGTAAGATAAATTTTTGACGATTTATTTTTTTGATTATGCAGTTTTATGCATTAATGCATTAAATTGATATATGTTTTTGAAAATACAGATAAGAATGTAGAGGCTGAATAATAGTGGCAAATATTAAGCATAAGAAAAATATTAGTAAATTAAATATGAAATACTTGACACTTTTTCAGAAGTTTCCTCAAGCTAGCAAGTAGCAGAAAAATACCTGTCTTACACTTAGTGTGTTCAGTATACACTTTTATAGTACTTTATATTGAAGTAAGTCTCTCAGGGATCCTTTGTAGCATTTTGTGTTCCATTTATCTGTCCAGATGTTATAATTCCATTGGGTATATTTGTTTGTGGACCTCCAAGGAATGAGGTAAATGTTGTATCTCGACTCATTGGTGGTTCAAGACCTTCTATAGGTATGCAATCGAGCGCAGGTACGGCGTATTCCCTGAAAACGTAGGAAAAATCACAATTTAAGAAAAAGGAAAATCAAGAAACCCTAATTTCTACAAAAGGCTAAAAAGTACTGGGAATTCATAACACTTCTTTAATATTGTATTTGCTAGAATCCTTCGTAATTAAGTTAAACAAAATAAATTACTTAAGTGGAACTATTAGCACATACAAAGATACATTATCCTGTGATTGTGTAGTATCGTTGACATGTTGCGGTAATACTTCAGGGTGCATCAACGGACGAGTAGATCTCGCGCTAAACAGAAATACTCCCACCATTGCAAGGAAGAATGATAGAAAATACAGCGCATGAAACTGTAACAATATATACACATTTTCCCAAAGGTTGACGTTTAATCCTACATTACAAAAATATAGATATTATACACACATACATGATATATACAGATACTCTTAAATATTGAGTTACAATACCGATATCATCACGTCGCCTATCACAAAATCTATCTACCTTCTTTTTTGTATTTAAGTGACAGAATTAAAGTTCAGTTAGTTTCAGCCAAAAAAATTAGATTAAGCCTTATAGCAGCTTTGGCCATAAATTCACCGAACTGCCACATTACCGCTGAGACTAAGACTGAATCTGAGAGATTAATGATTAGATTACATATCTGGATTGAGCATATTATTATTGTGATAACTAGGTAAAATAAAATATAAGATAAAAATTTAACATCAGTCCAATTTTTCAAATAGAATTTCTCAATTAAGTAAAATCCGGTTTCGGTTTCGGCCGAAACTGAGATCGAATGTTTAGTAGGTGAGTGTTTTAGGGCCACGAATCAATTGGCGCACGAATGGGCAGGCTCGTTCGGGAAAGTACCACGGCCTCACAAAAGACCAGTGTGAAGTGGAAGGGTAATACTTTAGCGTTTCATCTAATGAATGAGGGGTCCACATTATAAAAAAGTGCATTTGCAATCTAACATAAAAAAATGTAATGTTATTTAAATTCATATTTATTCATATTTAAATTACATTACATTTTTATAGAAAATGTATAGTTATTAGAAAAGTAGACAAAAATACCAATTGTTAATTACCTTAAACTGGAAAATATACATTCCCGCTATTAATGTATAATAGTCTGCCGACAGGAATGATAGATGTAAAATTATTGATCCGGCATCCCTCAGCATAAAGCTCTGTAAAATCTGGAAAACAGTCTGTAACCCACAGTAGCTACCTAATTGAACAACCGTCTCCAATTCATACCAATTAAACATAATGAGTTCGGTGAATTCTAGCAAGAATGTTTGAGTGCATGCTACCACTCCACCAATAAATCCCAAAAGTGCTAGATATTCTGAGCATGATTGTTCACTGAGCATCAATTCTTGTAAAACGGTTACCAATGCATAAAGCAGAGAACCAGCTAGACATAGCATATCACCCACAAGTTGGTTTTTACCTACAACAAAGAAAACTTTCAGTCAAATAAACCATTTAATAATGAATTAAAATTTATTTAAAGATATGTTGCAAAGGAGGTGTGTAGATAATATAGGCCCTTGTTGAAATAAAAGTTTTCAGCTGAAGCAATTTTAGAATTCAATTGCAAATCAAGTGAAATGTAATTTCAATATATAAAAGAATTTATTATGCATATTCTATGTAAGAAAAAATAAATCTTCTGGGTTGCAAAATACAGTTGATAAAGAATATATGGATAAATATTATTATGTATATATAATATTACATGGGATGAGTGAGATTTAGGTACATGGGGCACATACAATTCAAACAATTTATGCAAATTCATACCATCTGTTGGAGCGCCTTCTACATCTGCCCACACTACACAGACCACAGCCATAAGGCCCAATGTAGCACCTGCCACATGAGCAATACCCAATCTCTGGCCTCTCCAGGCGCCACCCACTAGAGCTGCCCCAACACCGCTGCATGCTAGCAGCTGTCAGCTCAACACTGATGTAAATCTTTGCGACATTACCAGCAGCCAGCTGGCTTCAACATCCAGGGTGCATGCTATAATCAGCACCCACCATCTTCTAAAAGTAATATTTAAAATTAAATATTGTGTTTGTTCATTATAGTTTATTTTAAAGTAACAGTTCTGACTCTTGATGATTAAAAGAAAAATTGAGATGCATCTTGTCACCTACTGAGATTTTAAGATACAGTTTATTCCATAAATAACTTACAGATTCATTTCAACACCTAATACTTCAGACTTAAATAACAAACTTATACAACAGTGAAAAAACCAAATCATATTGTGAGTCATGAGGCACACTTTATAAATAGTTTTAATTTTAACTAGGTAGGGTAGGGCTGCTGCAGCATCTGTTGTTGTACAAAATTGTGGGCTCTGCATGCATGTGTTTCCCCTGGGAAATACTAATACTTCACAAAAAAATTTAGTCAAGTGCAGGTCAAACTTGTATGCCGAAGGTTCCGTACATTATACCACCATAATCAAACTGGTAAATAATCGCAAACAATTTTGTTAGGACCAGGTGAACTTAGGAAGTTGAAATTTATAACAGATACTGAGGTCTATAGTCCCTATTAGGTGTATAAAAATGAATACCAAAATTTACCTTAATTTTCAACTTTTTTTATTTTTCGGATTTTTTTCTTTATTTGTGCTGGTCAACGAGAATTACCGTATAGGTTTTCGACCCAAATCGGTGGTGCGTGACACACGGACAGACAGACGGATTAGAGTGATCTTATTAGGGTTCTTTTTTTACCTATAGGGTACAGAACCCTAAAAATGTTATAAGAACCATATTTTTTTCTAACAAATTTGCAAATTTGTATCTAACAAATTTGCAACCAATCACTGCGTGTTGTACAAGTTTGTACTTTTATAGACACCAGTTATAAAGTGACCGAATTGTTTTTTGGCACCTCCAGAAAAAAATAATATATTCATGAAACTTACTTCGTTAGTTTCTTCACATCAGTACATAATAATGACGGTGTAAACAAAATAAATAAAATGAAGTACGGAATAACTAGTTGGGCGGTCGTAGGGAATTGCCATGTTGCACTTTGAAGTACAGTTGTAAGTATGCATTTGCCACTTAATATCAAAGACAGCAGCTGCCCCAAGATTATATTACGCCAAACTTTCCTAAAATAATATAACAATGTGTTTAAATTAAATGTTTACTCTATTACAAACACAAATGCAATGAAACTTACCATCGCCCAAGTTCCGAAAAGTAGGCTTCGACTTTATCACTGAAATTTGGGTTCTCCATGATTATAGACATTATCAATATAATATTTAAGTGAAAATTACGGAAAAATATATAAATTTCCCGCTATATTGAAAGGAAAATAGAACATTGTCCATTATTTCCAATATGGACTTGTACTTGCTGGGAATCAAAACATTGAATTTTATTGTTATAATAAAAGGGCTTGGGATTTCTCCATACAGCAAAACCTTGAATACAGAATAACTTAAGTAATAATTTACGTTCACAGCATAAAAATCTTTTTATTTCGTCTTGCAATTTTTGAATATGTTAGGTTAAATATTGTTCATGTTATAAAGTCAATAAATAACATTAATCTTACTAAAAATGTAATTTAATTTTTCTCCAAATGTTCTCCAGAAGTAGAGAATTGGGAATGGTATTTTTGTAAATATTGATTAGCTAAGACGTATTCATGAAATTGGAATAATTTAAATTCGTAAAATAGTTTCATTCATAATTTGTAGTCGCGTAAATACAAGAGATGAAGATACAATTAATTTAAACATTCTTTGAGTTTAGATAACACTAAAACAACAACATTCTCAAGATAAATCATTAAATATACTCTATGGAGTTGCTATGGAATTTACACTCGAAGCAGTTATCAATTATCAATTAATTAGCAAGTAGCAAGCCTTGTTAATTTCTTCGAGAGTTTATTGTATTCTTTTTAAAAAATAACGATTTTCGAGAAAAATCTATTTGAAACACAAGAATACAACTTTAAAAGATCGATTGCAAATAAATCGATGTAATTCCATTAATTTGTACATTTCTTCTCTAGACAGATTTAAACTAGTGAACTAGCTTTTTTGACTTGCAATAATAGATAGAAACAAACTAAGATTGAATAAAGAAATTTTGACTTGACTTAACTCATACGAAAAATAAATTATGTGGTATCTGAGAATGATTCACTGGATCGATGCATTTCTAAAAATCGATCTTTATGTCGTCATAAAGTCGATTCTTCGTTTTATCGAAGATGAAGTTCGGATCTTTCTTTCATCGAAACTGGAAACTGTAGCCAAAACCAAATAGCCATCCCTACTACTGGTACTACATAGGGATGGGCAAGTAAAAAAAATCGATATTTATCGTATGGCCATTTTTAAAAACTATCGATAATTATCAAGTGAACAATATCGATAAATTGATATATATTTTTTAATTTTTTTATTATTTATATTTCTTAACTGTTCAAAATTCGTAAAACTCTTTCTGAAGACACAGAAGAAGCCTGGCAAATTAGATACTTAAGGGTGACTTTTGAATTTCACTTCTTTTGAAGGTTTTTGTTTTTGTAAATTTATTAATTCGTAATTGCATAAAATTGTAAAATATTAATCAGTCAGACGATTTGGACTCATTGTACGTCGCAGCGTTAAATAAAATCATGCAAACTGAAATAAGTATCACGCTAAATAGTTGAAGAATTTGACTAGCTGATCAACTTCTCATGATACTGAAGTTAGGCGGCGTCTAATAATATTTGAAACTTTTTCCAACGATAAATTATAAAAGAAAACATATAAAAATTTGTACTTACTTAAATTTCTACATTTAAAATTAAAAAAGTATTATCGTGCACGCATCTGGTAACACTTAACAACAAACCAAAGTTGTTTTAGAAAATATATCGAAATTGATACGAAATCGATAGTCGAAAATAAATATAGATATATATAAAATATCGATATTTTTATAAATCGATATTTTTTGTCCATGCCCATGCCTATTACTGCATACTTGTTTGTATAACCGAAAATAAATATTTATTTTCATGATCCAATAAAATTTACTACATTGTCATAACCGTAAATAATAAATTAAATAAAATGGGTGATGGCAAGTATTCCAATATATTTAATAAATATTTATTATAACAATTAACTTTTTGTGATTTTATTAAGAATTTATTTCTTCGAAATGTAATAAAATTAATATTTACAGAAGATGTAATTCGGCGGAGATTACTTATTGACGGGGATGGTACAGGAGATGATAGGCGTTTAAATGTTTTACTGAAAACTTTAATAAAATGGTGTAATAATACAGATGAAAAACCGGAAGAGAGGTTAGGATTATTTTTTAATGAACAGGTTTGTTTATAACAGAATTTTACTAATAATTACTTTACTTTAAATTTGCAAAAATAATTATTTTTTCAGCAAATCAACACACGATAGAATGTTAGCACAGCTTGCTCAATGTGAATTTGCAGTGACGAAGTCTCAGCTGGGTTCAGGAATGATGGCAGCAGAGTTGAATAGTTATGAATCCCTGTCCAAAATTTTAGAAAAAGGCATAGAAACTGCTAAGACCAATATAGAGAAAAGCAAATTGGACCTTGCACAAGCAAAGACTGTCCGAAAAAACCGCATAGAATATGATGTTCTAGCTAAAGTAATAAGTGAACAACCTGATAGAAAAGAAACACTAGAGCGGCTGAGTACGCTAAAAACTGATTTAAGCAGTTTGGAAGCCACAAAACAATTGTTGGAGAGTAGACTAGCCCTACGTAAAAAGCAATTTCATGTATTGGTGACATCAATTCATCAATTGCAAGCTCTTTTAGATGATTCAGATGATACAGAGTCAATATCTGACGATGTTGATATCAAAGATATTACAATGGAATCATAGTATTAACATGTGTGTATATTTTATAAAAGTAACGTAAGATTTTTGAATAAAATATTTTTCCAAACCTTTTTTGTTTATATGTATTATAAATAAATAAAAAATATTAAAACAAGTAACTGAAGGCAACAAGTGACAATCTTGAATGGCGGATGTGGTTAATGGCAATTTCAAACCAAAAAGACACTTAAGGACTGATAAGAAAACTATTTATTTCAACTTAAACATTTTGAACTTATTATTGACGAAACAATCATTATGAAATTTATGTAAAATACAAGACTTATGTCAGATAGCTATACATGTTACTTCTTCAAGTGGTTTTTTATGTATCAATCAAATATGACACAATTCAGTCTGAACAAATAAAACTAACATTCCAAATTTAAAGTAATTTAAACATAATACATAAAAAAAAACAGGCTAGAGTTGACATCAAAAGAGTGTGTATAATCTGAGATTACCAATCAACAGACAAGACTTTGTTTTATAATAATGCAATATATTTATCAACATGAATTTACTACTGTATTCATACATATTATACATTCATAGTTTAAAAAAAGGAACAATTTACCAAGTTCTGTCTATCTGTCTCACCAAAGACAAATTCAAGAGTGAATATGCAGGGCCAGACTATAAGTGTTTTATTTTATTAACAATTTGTTTTTACATGTATACTTTTTTGCTGATCACTACATAGTATAAAACAAAGTCGCTGTCTGTCTGTCCCTATTTATGCTTAGATTTTTAAATCAACCGATCTTGATGCGGTTTTTTATACTATATAGAGTGATTCAAGAGGAGAAAACAGCTAAATTAGTTCATTATGCTTATTTTCACAGCATAATGTCCTATGGTGTCTTACTTTGGGGTTCCGCATCCGGTTTAGACATAATATTTGTATTACAAAAGCAGGCTATACGGGCCGTCTATGGCTTGGGTCCACGTGAGTCACTACGGCATATATTTAAGCAAATAAACGTTTTAACGCTCCCGTCGCTTTACATACTTGAGAACATCATGTATGTACGTAAGAATATCCACTTAATTACGAAAAAACAATCCACATCGCGTCTGGGCCGTGGTGACACTGGAAGTAGCGAGGTTTAGATTGGCTAAAACCAGAAAGTCGTTTCTTAGAAGATGCATCAACTTTTATAATAAAATACGTGACATCCACAAACAACTAAGTATAAACAATTTCAAACAATTTGTAAAAGCTACCTTAATGGCAAGGACCTACTATAATATCCAAGAATACATTGAGGACAAGGATGTTTGGAAATGACTCTTGCTCTGCACTTGCAAGACCCCTGGCTGCTGCTGATTTTATACCTAAATAAGTGTGTATAACAAAAAGAACAAGGCCGCAGAGTTTCTTGCCGGTTCTTCTCTGTGCAGGTCTAGTTTAGTGAACCGGTGGTAGATTTTTTGTTGACGTTCAATAAGAGCTTAAGTTAGGCCTATATTGAATAAATATACTTTGACTTTGACTTTGAAATATGTATAATACATTAAACCCGTTCGAAGCCGGGGCGGATCGCTAGTTATACAGCGTGTCGTTACCATCGCGACAATAAATGAACACACGTCTAACGCTACTTGCCAATAATCATAAAAAAATATTAACGTTAAACAAAATCCATAATTAAAAAAAAATATTTTTCAAACAAACTAATTAAGTAAAAAAGAAATAAAATTTGTAACATCCTATACAACTCGCGTCACAGCGTCGTATTACAAGCCTCTCCTTCTAACAGTATGTTTTGTCTCTTTCAAATTCATTCAACCCATTCATATGCTTTGTGACCTTTACAAATGAACTTTACGTTACGCTTTTATAGGTAAGGGTGTTCTAAAATTCTTTGTTTTGGAAAATTTAATAACTCTGTAAATATTGATGTTTAAAGAATTTAAATGGTTAATATAACTTTATCCCCTATATGCGTGTTCATTTATTGTCGCGATGGTAACGACACGCTGTATATATAAGTAAACTGGTGTATATCTACTAACATTTTCCGATACAACAATGATTCCATGAACAGCAATCCAGTTCCATTATTCGACATGATTTAAGAAGTAATGTTCTTTTCCTAAATTTTGCAATGAAAAACTAATTGAATTTTTCTTCTTTTCATTATTGCATTTGTTTTTCGTGCCGTAGTTCCACAGATGGCGCTACTGTGCTGGAATCAGGGCCAGTGAAACCCATTCATTAGATTAAGCCTTTGGAATGGTTAAGCTAAATAAGTGCTAACCGTTTGTTTATATATGCCAGTATAATGGTAAGCCTCTAATCAAAACGTCAAATAAACGAACGGCTTCTACAAATAACAAATCTTATGTTG